TATTTTTTGAAACAATCAGCACCATGTTTGTACCAAGCTGGCAGTGTTTTGTTAACACGAATAAACTAGCTAGCAGCTAGCTATTAACTTATACATATTATGTTACATATAATTATTGCCCTAAGTATTTAATATTTCAGTCACAAAAACTCAACACGCATCTTAACATATTTTGTTCTATACAAAAATATTTTATAAGCTATTATTTACTATGGGAATCTCGAAAAACAATTGCTGTTAATAGCACCAGATTAGCGTAATATTCTGTTTAAGGCAATGTGCGCATGTACTTTTTGTATCAATACGAATTTTCAACAGATATATGGACGTATATTTTATCTATAGAAATATTAGACGCAATTTATATATTTAAGAAGAAAACCATGAAGATATTAGTCGTTCTGATGTGTCACATATGAAATTAATTGCGCAGATCATTTGGTACTGATACAAAAATACACACATTGAAAGGCTGATATATATTGCTGCATCCATTTTAAATAACTTTCATTTTCAAGCGTAAAGCCTTTTTAGCCTATTCTATATAAAAATAAAAGTAATCATCCTTTTATAAGACACTTCACGTTTCTGTCGAATACTCTAAACAAAAATAAGTAATATGTACAAATTATTTTATAACTAAACTCTGATTTTTCATTCCGTAGAATTCTGACATTTCGTAAGTGTTGCTACTAAAAAAGTTCTCCACCGAAAAAGAGACAAATTTGAACCATTTGAGGGCAATAAATAATAAAATGCTACGTATTTTTTATGTTTCACCTACAAAAAAGGTAAATCTAAATATTTACTTATACAAGTCACCTAATACAAAAATAACAAATATTTCAATATCACGAACAATATATCTAATTAACTTTAATTACTTAATATTTTATTCTTTAGCTGGCATCACTGTCTACTAATTCCAGGTTTAAAAAACCTTTTAAAAAAATGTTAGCTGTCACGTCGCGTCTGTCACATTGATTGATTTTCATTCGACTTCTTTGAATGCTCGAATGCGCATGTGTTCTCGGTGTTTGCTGCTATTTGTTGTTATTATCTTGTTATATTTGTTAAGTTTCTGTTATTCTGTTAAGTTTTTTCTTGTTGACCTTTCGTTTTGTGATCGTTTGTTGATTTTTATAAACGTTATGGAGCCACAACCTGGCCCTTCCCGGGAAGCAGCCCCATCTGACAGAGCACAAGGCTTAGACTTTCTTTCTCCCAGAAAGAAGCGTCCTCGTGGTGCTTTTACGCCCAACGAAAAGACCATAATTCTAAATATTTACAAATATAATATAGAAAATTGGCCGCAAACAACTGATTGGAGTGCAACGGAATGTGCTAAAAAGACTTCTGAGATGACTGGCGTGGGTCTGTCAAGTGTCTATAAAATTACCAAAGAATATAAAGACACAAAAGAATTTCAAAAGCCGAAAAAAGAGTGGACCTCAACTATCTTTCATACAAAAATTTGACGAATTCACTTTCGCCGCAACTCGACGAAAGGTTCACGCGTTTTTCTACAGGAACGAGATTCCGACTATTGAAAAGGTAAAGTTATTGCTAATTCTTTAACACCTCGTTGCTGACATCCCCCATTGTTTTAAAACTATACTTTAACCTGTGTTGCCTGTCTACATTTTAACTGTAATGTAAATGCTTATTTCAGATTCACCAAGAGATAACTGGTGATCCAGACATGCCTGTTATGTCGAAATCAACATTAAGAAAAGTATTGAAGCATTTAAATTTTAAATACACAAGTCGCAAACGTCGAAGTGCGCTAACAGATCGCAAGGAGATAGTACTATGGCGTCAAAAATACTTGCACCAAATTAAACAATATAGAAGAGAAGGCAGGCTTATATATTACCAGGATGAAACGTGGGTAAACGAAGGCAAGTATTGAATTATGTGGTAATTAACTTTTTATAACCTATCTTTTCTTCAAAGTATTAGTCGGAAATCGAATTCTGTACTTATGTAATACTTAAATTAACTTTGTTAATAAATTTTTGTTACCAAAATGAATAAATAAATAAAGAAATCCATGTTTACAGGTAATATTTTTCAATTTATATGCATATATAACTGTCCTCATGTATAAGTGAAATATTAAATATATTTTTATTTTCAGGACATACCGTCAATAAAGTGTGGTGTGATACCAACATTCAATCTTCACGACAAGCTTTCCTCGATGGCTTGACAACAGGGCTTAAGGCACCAACAGGCAAAGGGGGGGCGACTTATAGTTAGCCATATAGGGAGCGAAGAAGGATTTTTGGAAGATGGTTTATTAGTTTTTGAGGCAAAAAAAGGCTTGGCAGATTACCACAAGGAGATGACTGGGGAAGTATTTGAGGAGTGGTTCACAAAAATACTTCCAAAATTAAAACCAAACTCGGTAGTAGTGTTGGATAATGCTCCCTATCATTCGAGGAAGGTCGAAAAAGTACCAACGAGTGCATGGAGAAAAGGCGATATCCAAGCGTGGTTGACTTCAAAAAATTTAAATTTTGAAGAAAAAATGCTAAAAGTTAATTTATTGGAAATTGTGGGTCAGGAGAAATACAAATATCAACAGTGTATTGTAGACGAGATGGCCACAGCACAAGGCATTACTGTGCTTAGACTGCCCCCATATCATTGTGAGCTCAACCCTATTGAATTGGTGTGGGCTCAAGTGAAGGGGCATGTCGCAAGACACAACAGAAGTTTTAAAATGGCGGAAGTTAAAAAACTATTACTGGAAAGTATAAGTAGTATTACTCCTGATAAATGGCAAGAATGTATCAGCCATACAATCAAAGAAGAAGATAAGATGTGCACTCTCGACGATTTCATTGACACAGTCGCAGACTCTTTAATAATTCATGTCAGCGATGATGACGATGATGAAGATAGTGATATAAGTATTAATGATGACTAAAGATTTTAATAAAAATATGTTATTTTTACTTGTGCATTTTTTACTGTTTGTAATGAAAAGGGACGTAATTATCACTCGCCGTAAAACCATGTAGAGTACCGCACTTAATAAAATGGATACATTTACTAACAAATAAAATGTATGTATAGACTCAGATGTTCAGACACGTATTGAAATTGAAAAATGTGCCCGGCCAAAAAGGTTTGTAATCTCTGACATGTCAAAAAATGATAGCTGTCAGAATTCTACGGAATGAAAAATCAGAGTTTATGTCTATAAAATACCTATCATTCACTTCCAGATTCAATTTTCCGTTATACTAGATAGGCAAAAGCCATACAAATCCTTAAATTAGATCTTAACTTTATATACATGATATAAATTACATTTATTCATCAAAATGACATCCAATATCAAAATATGAACACTTCATTCCACTCATCATATATTGAGACAAATGCTATTAAAGTACCTAATAAAAATATTAATTTTAAAAGTTTTTTTTTTTTAATTTAACAGTATGTATGTATGCATATGTTGTCATATTTAAACGGAAGAAATAAAAAATACAACTGTACCATTAATCCAATTTACCCTAAAATATTTTTAAGCCTACTTAGGTTTAAAAAATATTTTAGGGTAAATTTATTTCATATTGCAGCAAAAACAATAGTTTATTTAACTAACGAATAAAAGACAAATATAAGAGCAGGCATTGTATGTGAATCTATTTCAAAATTCTTCCGGTAAGCATTCTTCATAATATACAATAAACCGACTAGAAATTTATTTTTGTAATATTTAGCTGCAGTTAGATTTCTAGCAACACTTAAAGCTGCCTGTGACCAAGTCTCTTCTTATTAAATACTTTTTAAAAACTGAAACAATAATACTGTGTATTTGAAAAGAAAAACAAGGTCTCATGTACTCAAATACATATATAACACCTTAATTTAAAAAAATGTGTTGAGATACAACTGTTGTTTTCTGGCATAGACATATTTTTATATATGTTTCACATACCACATAAACACAAACACACACACATTTTCAGCTACGTTCAATAATTCTTTTGGTAGAAAGAGTACATACTAAAAATACGCTTAATTTTGTCTTCTAAATGTCTCCTTCTGAACATAGAGATTTACATGTTATATGTAACGTAAACTTTATTAAATTGGGAACATCAACATCAACATATATGTTAGCTTAGATGTGATACAAATCCATTTATTTCAAGAGTAGAATCAAACTGCAGTTTTATTGTGGCAGCAGCACGAACGATTCGCCACGACCGGGGAAAAACCATGCTCTCATAAAATACTAGCACCATAATGCATACAATTGCGTATAGTGCGTATAGAGAACACAACCAGAGACAATATTACCTTGCAACAAGACCTTCTATCTTAGTAGTGACAACCTACTGTATTTAAATTCTTAACCGATGATAGATGTTGTTGGTTTATATGAGCCACAGAACTTCTATCACCTTCAGTCCTATAAAAAAATGTTAAAAACGTTACAGCCAATATACGTCCCACTGCTGGGCACAGGCCTCCTCCCATTTCTGAGAGGGTTTTAGGACAAGGAAATGTCCGCCCCGTTGCGTGTCGGAGAACTTCACACGTCTTCGAACTTTTTTTTCTTATTTCTCAGACATGCAGGTTTTACCACGATCTTTTCCGAGCACGTGATAAATCAGCACTTAAAATTGCAATTAACAATTTCATTGGTCCCGGCGGGAATCGAACCCGGGTTGCTCACGTACTATAGAATTCACAGCGAGCGCCTAGCCCTTGAGCCCACGGCTCTCTAAAAAATGTTATCTTTATGAATATTCAGGGGTTTAAATTGCCTCTGGCTTACAAGTATGTGGTTACCTACATCCATTTTGGGATGTTACTGACGTGCGCTTGATTGCTTCATGCAAAACGAAATAAAACTGAATAGGGAAACATATCGGTAGTGTGTTCTAGAACTTGATGCAATGCTAAGTTCATACAAAATAATTCACAAAACATTGGGCATAGGATAATACGGCCTTACGTCTTTACATTCCAAACTATTTTTTCGAAATAATACCTTCTTTTCCTAGGGATTTCCTATTTTCGAATTTCTGTTGCAAACTAGCAACATTCGACGGCTTCGCGGACAATTTGGTTGTGTTCGTTTTGATATTGGAATCCGTTCTCTGAACGCTTATCGTGCTAGGTTTTGGCACTACTTTGGGTTTATTTTTATTTAAATTATCAGCTATTGCTTTGACATTAGAATCTACTTTTGAATTCGTACGATTAATGGCAGGAGTCTTTTCAGTTTGGGATTTGTTAATATTCGAGGAAGGGTTTGAAGTCTTTGTTACGTTTGGTGTTTTATTTGTCGTTTTCTTGTCGAGCGTTGGGGCGGATCGGAGAGGTGGTCTATTATCATTTGGTTTAACAGTCACATTGGGTTTAGTTGCTACTTTAGGGGCATCGTTAGGTATTTTATTGTTATTAATAACATCAGGCGCTTTGACGTTCTTTGTGTCCACCATCGCGCAACTAGATACTAAGTCTGGACTATTGCAAATAGTTTTAGGGGGCAGATTAGAATTTTTTGTTTGATTTTTTGGTGATTGAGGAACATTTTTGAACGTGGTTGTATTACGTAAAGTAGGTGGTGTTACTTGCCTCGCGAATGTGGGTATTTTGGAATTGGCTTTCAATGTGGGAGATGGGGGCGATTTTTCTATCTCTTTCGTATCGTTGTTGTTTTCTTGTTCTTTCAAGTAAGACGGGACGTTTACCGCTGAAGGGTGTAAGTAGCCACTACTGGTAGTGGAGGCTGTGCTGGACTTTGCACCGGAGTTGCTATAGACGCTCTCCGGTGTTCGATAATGATCAGTGTTCATGTAAGTACTATCTCTATTATTTTCGGCGTTTTTCTCTCTCTTCTCTTTCTCTTTTTTCCTAGAGAGCGTTGCGGCGGAGTAAATAGAGTCGAAGTTGCGATTCTGAATTTCATTTACAATTTCTCCTAAAAGACCCATGCTCTCTGTACTTCCAGAGTTGGAAGGAACGGGCTTAGGAGTATTGTATCCAACAGGAGGAGGTTGAGGAATTGTTTTTATGGGCGCGGGCACGCCAGGAAGAGGTTTAGAGTGTTTTTCAGGACTTTCTTCGATTATAGCGTAAATGTTATCTCCAGATTCTTCGTCAATATGCGCTAAAGGTACAGGTTTCTCTTCTATACAGTCAACGTAGTCGACCGATTTCAAATCGATTTGGGATTTTGGATTTTGGTATTGTGATGTTTCGTTTTCGACTTTGTTACTTGAATTAGGTAAAGGTGGTGGCGGGGCTGTGGGTCGACCAGCTACGGAGAGAGGCCTTGGTGCAACTGGTTGTCTCATTGATCCAAAGCTTTGCAATGACGGCTTTTGAGTCGTAGGAGCTCTCATGCTTTGGGCCCTATTGACAAAGGCTTTAGTATCGTCCATGTCTTCTGAATCGGAAACCACAGGGATAGTACCGACAGGCAGTTCTATCTGTTTCTGCACTATAGGCTTTGAAATTTGTAAATTCCTTAATGCAACTTTGTCTGCAGCCTTAGGTACTTTAACTTGGTGATTTGGATTCTTCGGTAGCGAATGACTTCTTTCGACCGGATTACGTTCTTTCTCCTTAGGTTTATCCTGTTTGAGAAAAGATGCGATCCTATTTAACGAAATCCCTTCCCTAACTTTTTTTGGCTCCTCTGGCAAAGGTTTTTGCGGTACCGTACCGGAATGCATGCTAACAGGTCTTTGACGTAAATCCGGAGAAATCGCAGGTACGGTAGGGGCAGTACGAATTGGCCCCAAGGTCTTTGAGCCTTGCAGCGGTGATATTAATTCTTTCGCAGTACATGTGGAAGCTTCCAGAATCGGACTCGATATAACTGGCCTTGGTGCAAGATTACCTGCAACGGATGGAACATCTTCCGTTTTCTCAGAACTCATTAAAGCCTTTATTCTGTTCTGGACTGAACTGTTAGTTCTTTTAACGGACGGACTGTTTTTGGGGCTCGTTTTTGTTGTTGCGGGTACGACGGGTAACGGAGGTGCGGATCTCAACACAGGTTTTAGAATACTCTGGTTGATTAAGTTCTGGTTATTGCTACTGCTTCTATGGACGGGAGTAATTTTAGCGCTTTTAGCATTAGCACTCTCAGTTGTGTTCTTGACTTTGTCTTTTCCTGTGCTCGGTGCGATTTCTGTGTCATCTTTCTCGTTCTGTTGCTGGTTTTTGTCGATGGGCGTAAGCGAAAAGCCCTTAAAATTGCCGAAGAAGTTGACAGACGGGTTTAGATTTCCTGTAGGACTGCGGTCCGAGTCACTTCGTAGGAGACTAGAGCTCATATCGTCCGGATTGGAAAGGGTGTGCACACTGACCGGTTGGGCGTTGTTCTGGTTGCCATTTTGGAAATTGGCGGCGAATTTGCTTGCGCTGCGTGATAGACGTCTTTGCAAACTACCTTTCTTCGGTGACTGTACACTGTAAATATAAATAAAAAGTTAATGTAAAAAGAAAAGGGAGAGGAAGGAAGCTTTTTAGAGCAATATCATATAATTATTATTCTATAGACAGAAAATTTAAAAATTATTTTTTGGTACATGAAAATAAAGATGATAAAATTAACTAGCTTAGATCCGTGTGTAAACTTCCACTTATATTTTTTAATAAAAAAAGATTTGCGTAAAAACTTGTACTTTTTACTGCTTGAATCATAATTTAGTTAATTTTGACGTCTTTTGGTGCCAATGGGGATCTAATTTTTTTACTCCCGTACTTAGAACTTGTGTTTGAGGTCTAATAAAATTTAATTTCAAAAATAATATACAAAACGTATATTTAGTAACATTGATCATTTTCATATACGCACATATATACAATTTTAACGACTAACAAGAACAATACAACATATTCAATAATAAGCATTTAGTGACAGAATCGTATATGTAGGTATAAGTTATCATGCCAATACATTAGTAAGTAAAATATATAGGAAGGCGGTTAAAATCAAACGCGTTATTATTTGAATCATCATGCTTGTTTTGTTATTAAAAGACATCATAAATACAAGATTGATTTTAATTTTTAGTAGTATTTTATTATAAGTTTTTACTTTTGAAGATAATAAACACAATAACTAATAAACAAAAAATGTCCAAATTATTATATTGGTCAAATATTGTAACAGCCGTGTAGTTGCGGCGTTTAGAGAATCTTCTATCCCATATAATCCCGTCGGTGTAAGAGACGACATTTCTGATAACTCAATAATAATAAAAAAAGACTACAATTGTCAACCTGCCTCACAAGCGCCAGTTATGGCAGCAAATGAATGAACGAGACATGAATGAAGTGACACCTTCACATAGAACACCAAATAACTTTTAAATTTGATCGTTGTACGTTATTTACTTTTAAAATAGTTGAACGTTAACTTGCAAATAACATCACACAAAAGATTCGATTGTGACAGAAGATGTACAGCAGAATATAACCAAACATTAAAAAAAAAACTTATAAAAAAATCAATTAAAAGCACTGCAGTATTCATTAAAATGAATTATTATAGTCATCATTACAGCCTGTACAACAGTAAGAGCACTATGGATACCTAGAGATTCGAGAAGAAAGTAGGAGAGGGCGATACAAAACGTATAAAGTTATTGAATCTAGATATTGCTTCAATATCGTATATCCGATATCGGCCTAACCAAAAACTATATATCGGACGAAACATTATATTGCTCGTGCCCGATCGCGATTTGCGAAGATATTGTATCGCAGTGGTGTCGAAATCCGAAGTCAAACCGTATATACAGTATCACCAATGAATACCGAGTAGACTCGATCGTCGCCGACGATCCACATTAGATATAGATACCAAAGTATAGTTGCCGACACGAAAGGTGAGCACAGATGAACTATGGTGGGGGTTGAGCTAGCGTAGGTACACTGTCGGCCGTAAAACTATTAGGTACCGTTGTTATTTCAATTCGTAATTGAGTATTTTCGCTGACTTTTTTCGAAATTCTGAGTCGTTAACTCCTTTAATTATACGACGTACAGTAGCTACGTAGACATTAGTCGCCTTAGCAGTCTGTTTATAAACGTCTATCATGTTTTTCTCAATACCTAATTATTTTATGTAACAAAACACTGAATAGACCATTTGTCGGGATTGTTTAACACCGAATTCTTTCTTCTCTGCATATTTAGCCCAAAAACGAATGCTCAAATTATAACAAAAAAAAAAAATAATAATAAGAAAAATCAAAAACAGTAAAAAACAAGAAATACACAAACAACAATTAACAATGAGGTAACACTACAATTAACAATAATAAACTAATTAAAAAGTTGTCACTAAAATTGCTCTCAAGTGTACGATAGTCGAATGATACGTGCGAACCCAATAGACGAGAATCGGCTGACGAATCAATCACGTTGAGCGTCAGCGTGGTCGACGTCATATCGACTAATAAAAAGTGTGCTCACGACTCGTGGCGGCAATTATAAAGAGGAAGTGCGCGATTGATGAAACTGAAATAGCTATACAATACATACGATTTTAAACCTTATTTCTAGTATGATACAAAGTCTGTTTAAAAATTTCTCTCAGTATTTTGGCGCGATTGTTTTATAAAATGTCAACTTTTGACCTTACTCTAAGGATAGTAATAATCGCATTGCAACTTGTATGTTGTAACATACATACATACATACATAAACACTCACGCCTATCACCCAGAGGGGTAGGCAGAGACTACAGACTTCCATTTGGCACGATCCTGACACACCTCTCTCGCCTCCTTCACATCCATACATCTACGCATGCATGCTCGTCGGTTAAGGGTACTCCTAATTTGGCCCGTTTTCAATAAATCGCCAATTTGGTCGATAAATTTTCGCCTAGGACGTCCCTTTCCGACTCTGCCATTCACTTCTGCACCATAAATTCTTTTTCACTCTTTCCTCATCCATTCTTTCCACATGACCAAACCACCGAAGCATTCCTTTCTTAATCCTGGTCACAACATCATCTTGCAAACCACACTCTTCTCTTATCACACAATTCTTCACCCTGTCATTCAGATTCAGCCCTAACATACTCCTTAACGACCGCATTTCTACTGCATTTATTCTACTCTCGTGCTTCTTCTGCCACACCCAACTTTCACTACCATACGTTAAAGTAGGGACCAACACAGCATTGTGAATTGCCATACGTGCCTTTTTTGACACATTTTGACTCTTCACAATAGAGTGCAGGGCCCCATTTACTCTGTTTCCTGCGTTCACTCGTCGTTCTATATCCTTATCATATCTCCCATCCCTGCTAAATACGCAACCCAAATATACAAACTCATCTACTTGCTCGATCAACTCCCCTTCTATTCTTATTTCACATATCGTTTTACTTTCATCTCTTTCAAAAACCATAATTTTCGTCTTACTTGCGTTCACTTTCATACCCCTTTCTTTTAATGATCTGTTCATTAATGTAACCATCATTTGCAACTCAGCCGCCGACGACGCAAGAATAACTTGATCATCGGCGTACAAAAGGCATTTGATGGTTAACTCACCCATTCTTAATCCGCATTCTTCAACTTTCAAATTTTGTAACACTTATTAAAATTTGGCCTTGAACTAAAGAGCAAAGAAATTAGGAGCGAATATTTAAGTATTTTTGAAGAATTCTATTTTCAGTTTCAAGTAGGAATAACGATCGAGTGAACGCATTTATTTGTTGTTCCTCCTTAGTTTTGAAATTAATAATTTGTTTTTTTTTAGAGTTTGTGTTATTTCAGTATAAAACAATTTAATTTTGTGACTCACATTATAAGTGTAAATAATAATTTATGTTTATGCGCCTATTTTGTATTATTATAGTGCAGCAAGTACATTTAAACTTAAAAGCTTCTCGTTTATAATAATTTGGAAACTGAGAAAATAATTTATAATGGTGTATTTATAAAATTGTGTATATTTACTTTATAGGTATTAATTTAGTGAAATTAGAACTTTAAAATATCTATCTTGAATAAAATACATAGTGCATACTCTAGTTTTCATAATAGCACCTAATCACTAAGTATTATATAGGGATACACTATATACTGTACGTTCGTAGCCGAGTGTCGAGTCAGTATCCACTTTGTCAAAATCAAAAATCGTCGCGAAACCGGTAACAGCAACCGGAAAAGAAATAACTGCATAAACGGCATAACATCGTCATATATCGCAAATAGCAATATATAGTTTCGATATGATATTCAGAAATTACGATATTACCCACTCCTAGAAGAAAGAATCACCAACTTTATCACTACACTGTTTTATTAATAATCCTTATTTACAAAACCAAATTATTTTTTATTTACGTACTGGCTTTAGTTGTAAAGTTTAATTGTAATTAATTGTAAATGTTGTTGAACGCAACCATAGTGCGTCTTAAAATAATAGTGGCACCATCTATTATCAACTAAATAAACAAAATAAACTTAATATTAGACACAGCCTATCAAAAGACCACAGTTGAACATGGACCTCCGCCATAGATCCCTAACAGGAAGAAATTTGTCCCAGTTGCCAGTAGTTAGTAGGAAGATGCTGCTGCCCATCCCCTGTTTCCTTTTCCAATGTCGCTTCTTACGACACGGGATAGTGCATTCTCTTACGCCGCTAATACACGCCAAGACATATGTATAACTATGACTAAATAATGATTTCTTATATTTACGCGAACACTACACATTGAAATAATACTAGTTTTTACGGAATTTATCGCGTATATTTAACTTTTTAAATACCCGACGTTTCGAACGCTTTACAGCACTCATGGTCACGGGCAGGACTGAGATGTTCAACGTCGATATGTCATAGTCCATACGTCCATATGTCATAGTTAACCCCCGTCACTACATCAGATTTGATAGACCGCAGATCCTCGCTAAAGAACACCGATTCCTTCCAAGGATGATTCGTTTTTTAATTTCAAAAAACATCCTAATTTCAATAGAGAAGATGGCTGGGTGCTACCATCTGCTTGGGATCCTATAATAAATAAAATTAAATCCCAACCCAAGCATACAACTGCAAGACTTCAAGATACCATAAGTTCATACTGCATAGATCGGAACAAAAGTTAAATTTTAATCTATGGTAACCGCGGTTAACTATGACATATGGACGTTGAACATCTCAGTCCTGCCCGTGACCATGAGTGCTGTAAAGCGTTCGAAACGTCGGGTATTTAAAAAGTTAAAAAAGTTAAATATACGCGATAAATTCCGTAAAAACTAGTATTATTTCAATATGACTAAATACACTGCTCTAACATGCAAAATAAGCGCACATGCAACGAAAACACAAATACCCATAAAGAGCACTCACCAAAAACACAATCCCAACGACAACGACAGACACCTTCTAAAAATGTTATTGCAATGTTGCCAGCAAGTTTAATATTGACTGGCAATACTACTATATTAAATGAAAAATATAAAATTCAATAAGCTTTATTTACAATAGACCATACAGTGAATACAAACAACTAACTACAAGCTAGGTCATAATACACCAAAGGAACTGTTTTAAATCATTTTTTTCAAGGAACTGATTGATGTAATTGTTTTTATATCCATTTTATGATAAGTTTTTTGGTTAAGTACATCTTAACCAGATATGAAATAAGAATAAGAAATATCGTAACTGAATGTTATTAACCAACTATACGAAAATAGTAACCTACATTAAAATTATTTTGTTTGAATGCTTATTACACAATTACACATAATAACATTTTTTAATGAAATGTGAAAAATATTCTATATTTAGAATTAACACATATGACAATACTTTTACCATGAGAAAATAAGTCATGGCAGAAAAATTAACATAAATGCGTTTCAGTTGCTAATCGAGCAGATACGAGGGCAGAAGCTAGTATATATTATAACCAACATTATAATCATTTCAAAAACATCAGTTAAAACAGATCCTTATAATGAAATTTGATCACAAGATGACAGAAAAGATAATAAAACTATCAGAAGTGTAAAAGTTAACATATTAAAACATAATATCTCCGTGATGTTGAAGCGAGAAAACTATATAAGAGTCTGTTCGGAAAGGATATCAGCGCGATCGAGTATGAAATAACATTAGACTTAAAATAATTCCTTAAAACCTATATTAAATTATTTATAGAAACTATTACGTATTTTTTTTTTTAAGTTTTGCTTAAGCTTTAAGGGTATGTTCCAAATGTTTTCAGTATACTGCCGAATACAAATGACGTCATCAATTGATACTATATTGTACGGTCGTGCGGCCGCCATATTGTGTCGGATATCCGACAATAATAAAACAATTTTTAATTGTGTGTGCGCTGAATGAAGCATGCCAGAATTTGTTTTTATTTATTCAAATACAAAAAATTATAGAATAATTGCTGGTATCTCCATTAGGAGGATATAATGATTTTTGGAGCAAAAAATGACAAAATAATCGCCAACGCTTTTCCAATATGGCGCAAAAGTATGACATCATATACTGTCCTATGTTTTGGAAACGAATCACCAGTATAGCGTCGATTCATGACATCATTTGCATTTGACAGTACACTGGGTTCCATTTTCGAACATACCGTAAGAGTGGCCATTCAATCGGAGCCAATTCGGAGCGATATAAGAACATGATCGACAATTTTTTTTGCTTCTATTGTAAGAATGGGACGCAGTTTTAAATAGAAACACATGGTTCCAACACGATGGAGCCACTTCCCATACCTCCAGAGTCGATGGACACAATAAAGGAACTTTTTCAACAAAAATTGATATCAAGGTTTGGAGCCATCTGCTGGGCACCCAGGTAGCCCGACTTCACACTATTTATTTTCTGTGGGGCTATCTAAAGTCAAAAGTTTATTCAAACAAACTACGAAAACTGGCAACGCTGTAAGAAAATATCTGGCAAGAAATAAACAATATCTCCCCGCAACTCTGCAAGAAAGTGTTAGAAAATTTTCGTGTCTGATTAGAAAAATGTATACGAAAATATGGTAAACATTTTTAGGGAATGATATTCAAAAAATAAAATCCGCTGTATTTCTTAATATTTTCATATTAAATAAATATTTTGTATTCATTAACTTAATAACTTACTTAACATAAAACTCTTTTTCGTAAATCGAAAATTGAACTTTCCTACTGGACACACGGTATAAAAACGCTTCTTAGACATCCCCGACGCCTTTAAATACTATATCGATTCTCTTTCTGAACAGACTCATAGTGAACGAAAATAAGAACAGTTTAAAACAATAGAGAAGTTTGATGAATATAAATTAAAACAATGTTTTTAATTCTAAAATGATTCCAAAACCCAAGATGAGAATGTATGAAAAAGGCTTTTGAGGAAAAAAAAAAAGAATTAAAAGAGTATAAAGGCTATTACTATAAGGCCAAGTTAAATTAAATTCAATGTGCAAAGTGCATCAACAAATGCTATAATGTAAGCTTATACTGTGTTAAAAACTACATAGGGAACTTTAACTATGTCAATATATTAAGAATACTGTGAAGCTGTAAATTTTAATAAAATAAGCGATAACGTCCCTCCCCCCCCCCCTCCACCGTAAACACACTTGTATAAGATATTAGTATCTTAACATTTCTATTTTTGACTTAAAAAGTTCCTCGAGCGTTTTAATTTTACTAAACTAAATTATTGAAAAAGGAAAACGTACAGACCTAAATTAAAATGAACCGAATCTAATGAGACCAAAATTGTCTCATTTCAATGTTTAGGGAGGTGAAAACGTTATCGGCCACATTTTTGAAAAAATTCGGCCAGCGTCTCGGCACATCACAATCCTCTTAACAAAGTCTACGGTGTTAACTTAATTTATATCTACACTTTTTTAAATTCATGCACTTTCTGTCCTAAGACTTCATCGTACAAGCCGCTACTTTTGATTTTGTACATGCGACTCTGATTGCTAGATTTGTTTGTGATCATTTCATTGGTTGTAGACGCGAGTCCTGTATTCACTATTGCCGATTTTATATCTTTTTTCACTTTTGAGTGATCTAACTTTGGTGTATTATTAGAAGAAAATTTACTGTGCAGGTGTTTTAAATGCGCCTGAGGTATGTCTTTATGATCTTTTATTATTTCATTTTTATTTGATAGAGAGGTAGTGTTGCGTGTTTTGAGATTAATTTCATTGAAAGCAACCCTGTTTGTTTTTGATTGTGTAATCGATGGATTGGTTGCAGCACTTTTAAGGTTATCGGAAATAAGTTTTATATGCTCTTTACCGATTTTTTCATTGGTGGTAGAGGTTAAACCAGTATTTACTATGACCAACTTATTTTTATCCACTCGGTTAGAGCTGTTAGCTATAGGTTCTGAGGTATTGAATTTACAGCTGTCAGTTACAGTAAAACCCTCTTTATTTACTTTACGTAACAATTTTTTCGTTGACATAGTACTTTTTTTACTCCTTCTACCTTTAGTAAAATGAATAATCTTATAAAACCACGGTTGTGTTTGTGTGTTAGAAAACTTTTCTTGCTCAATTTGGTTATCGTTTCCTAGATCTTCATTTATAGTTTCGTATATATGATTGTCAGTGTCGCCATCTATGTTATCAGTTATAAAGTTATCAGGTCTTTTGTTGGGAATTTCAGAATCGGTGCTATCTGAGCGTTTGAAGCTAAGAAGTCTTAAGACAGAACTTGTACTAGAGGTAAAAGTGCGAAATCTATTGAAGTGCTTATTTTTAGACGTTGTGCATTTAGAAGCCGATCCCGTGTTATTTTTCTTTGCGAGTAGGTTGTGTACGTACGTTTTCCTTGGTTTCTTCCACCACATCAGCACGTTGAGCCTTGAGTAATATATCAGGAACAGCATCAACAGGATCGACGGCAATATGCCCAGGAATATCACGTACATCGCCACCATGAAGTTTCTTTGAACTGCACAAAATAATAACCAATATCTAGAACACTTTTACACACATGCATGTATGTATGTACACATACGCACATACACACACAAACTTAAAACACCTTTTGAAATAATTGAATTGGTTTCTAGATTACCTAATACCCGTCTTCTCCATCTTCTTCATCAACCCGCAAAACTCAACTTCAGGCCATGGATTTTCCTCGTCATAGGGAAAGGTCGCCTTAATCATCACAGTTGGCAGGATTGACCGCAGTACCAGACGTGAGTATTTTTGATGCTTAGTATTTCACGTCTGGCTTAACCGACATGGTTGTACCCACTAACAATCTGAAGCCAACAGATTTTATTGGTATTTTCCATTATCGACTTTTACGATACCCATGTGGTGATATGTGGTAGTGGGTTCTCTTACGTCACCACTACACGGCAATATTACGAGCTTGAAATAGGAAACGGTATAATCTATACGTCTATACACAAATAAAATTGAATTGTCTCTGTGTAATATCGAACAACTGCCTTTTATTGAGCTGAGGAGGTTATTTGCATTCCATTATCACGTGAATAACATCATTTAAACTTTTTGTCTGTCTGTCCAGGCTAATAGCGACCGCCAGAAGTAACCTAGGCTATATTTTATTCAGACTTGCATAATTTTTTGAGAAATCGAATAATTGGGTATTTCCGTTTATCAACCCTAGGGTGGATACTCGGAAACGCGTGTCCGTTTACCCACCCCAGACGGGGTGGACATTCATTCTTAGTGCCTCACAAAACTACGAATTCGTTATAATCTTGGCATAAAACTATTTCAAATGAAGTTAGAGACAAACATCCAAATTTAGTAAATTTTTTTGGATTGCTTACAAAAAAAATTAGAAAACAATTGCAACTGTATATTAAAGAAAACGAGTTTATCAAGGATATACAATAAAGAAATTAGTGTTCGTCATTATTGGACATATTACACAATTTATAAATTACGTATGCAATACGTAATATGATTTTTGTTTAAGTTTGTGGTTATTAAAAATTTATCAATAATATGTTAAAGTATGAATATATTTTCTGTCGAACTGTACTTGGGGTGGAAAGGCGGAACAACAATCAAAGAGTGAATTCCGATTATTCACCCCGTCTAGGGTGGATAAACGAACACGCGTTTCCGAATATTCACCCTAGGGTGGATTTCTTAGGATAGAAATATATAATAGAAACGGAATAACGAGAATAATTGATGGAATAAATAGTCTATGAGGTTATCTTACATTCTAAACAATACCATATTAATAGATACTACCCAGGAATCTGTAATAAATCGTCTTACCGCTGGAATCCGAAGCAGGTCCAGAATCATAAGAGCCTCCGGGACCGGGCAAGGCGCACAATGGGGGAGCAAACCCGGCGTCGCAATGACAGTGGCCTGTAAAACAAACATGTGTCGGCCTTACTTATAACCATCGACATAAATTTAAGAAACACTTAAAATGCTCTCTTTCTTACCATTAATGACAATATAACAAGATATGTATAGAGATGATTAATACATAATTTCAGTAAGCGATAATTTTTTTAATAAAAAAAATACTTGTCATACTATTAACATAACTAATATTCCCTTTAACCACTTTTAGTAAACCTATAATGCTGGTGTTAGGAGGGTTTCTCGACAGTAGTCGGATAGCGAGTTCGTACACACGAACTCTTGAGTTTTCTTCTGAGTTTGAGTATAATCAAAGATTATAAGGCTGATATTCTTTTATAGAATAAGGGTGACCAACGAGCACACAGTCCACCTAAAGGTAAGTGGATGCTGTGGCCCATAGAGATGTCTATGGGCCTATCTATCCTCGATTAAGAATCAAAACGCAGATGCGTTGTCACACCTGAGGACTATTATGGAATGCCTCGTTTCCAGTAAAAAAAGGGTCTCCGGATCTCTACACTCACCATACGAAACACAGTAGTATTAAGCTGCTATTTTACGCTGGTATTCTGTGAGAGCGTGGTCCTTCCCCGGTCGAGCCGACCCATTCGTGCTACAAACTATACTACTAATATAACTACAGCATGGCTCTACCACGTAAAAACAATCATTCGCTTCTTTTAGTGAAAGCAATAAAAAAAATTCTAGTGCCTTAAAAATTGATCTCTTAAAACTCCTAGGTGTGTGCGTTAAAACAAATTATTTCTTCTTTGTATTTCTTTATCTCCCCGAAATATTCCTCAAGCGGATATGGGTCTCTCCCGAAGGTTTTGAGAAGCCTGAATAACTTTGACGAAGCGGAAATTGCAGAGTATTACCACGGCAATACATGTTGGTCAAGCCTCAGCCAACGCGAGCGTAGGCAAATTGATACAAGGCGAGTGCTACACGACCCATTCGTGCTACAACCTTAGTATACTATACTAAGGTAAATAAACTAATCTAAGCCGTCGAGAAACACACGTTAGTCCTCAGGGATGACAACGCATCTGCGTTTTAATTCTTTAGAGGATAAATGTCAGGTAGACTGTGTGCTCGTTAATCACCCTTATGCTATAAAAGTAATATAAGATTTAGGTAACTATTATCGCAAACTTTGTTGATAACATTCAATGAAAATGAGACATTAACGGCAATACTAGGTATATTAATATTGTTGCCAGTTTCTTATAAAAATGTATCAATAAGAAATTTATAAAAATTTTAATTGAAACGAGTGTACACAGTAAATATGAAAAAAAAAAACGTGAACAGAAATATTGAATAACTGAATACCCTAAATAAATATTTATAAACAATATTTAGTATTTATTCAAAATTATGGTCAGTAAAGTTACTTATTTTTCAATTTTATTAGCTAGTAACCCGAAGCGCACGATTTTGGTATCAACCGGCCATTAATACCAGATATAAGTCTTCAGAAATAAATAATATACAGTAATACTATACAAAAATACCTTCAGAGTTACAAACGCCGTGTCCCGAACAATTGGAGGGACATACAGCTGTCTCTTTCTTCGCTATGGCTTCTCTTATCGCTTCCACGTTAACGCACTTCTGATTTAGACACATCTATAAAAGAAAAGGAATATAATTAGATATCACCAGGTATACTATAGAATCTATTACCATGTATCAACGTTGGGTGTCGTAAGAGCTGACGGAGGGATATTAATGAAACGGGAGGAAGATAGCAGTGTCTTTCTGATAGCTACTAGGAAATAAAACTACAGTTGCCATCCCGCTTGCCGAGTGTTGCAATACCGTACATATCCTTCTTATGAGGTATCTATAGCTCTTCATAGAATGCCCCGTAATGCCACATTTACACTCGGCCTTTGCCACTAATCTGCCGGAAATATTATAACCCTAAATACTTCTGCGACAACAACGACGCGAGTGGGTGTTCACACTCAGCCTTCATACTTCTTAATTGATCAACTCGCAACAATGACTGACGTCGAGTTTGTTGGTGCGACAGCATTATGTCTGCTCAGTATAAGTAACTACCACGTGCAATTTATGCTTTTTATCATGAGGATCTTATATTACCACCTGCATTTCATACAATTCTAAAAACTTAATTGTTTTGTCATTACTAAATATCATTAAATACTGGACAGATTAATAAACGAATTGTCGTTTTTAAACGTAGCACGTTCTTTCTCGGTCGAATTTCAGCGGCAAGAGAGCGAGAATGTAAATTGTGGGTTTTACATTCTTTTTTTTACCTATGAGGCAATGTATAGGGAGGCCAATGTCCAGCAGTGGACTTTAAAAGGCCGTGACTGACGTGATTCAATACAAATATCATGAATAATATCATAGAGATATCGATAATAATTCCATCTGGAATTGCTGTGTATCAATGCTAAGCCAATAATGAGCCTTTTCCTTAGCCACCTATTTTATGTTTTCTTCTCTTTAGATATGATTTAGTTAATGCTAGGCAATAAATAGTTATAAGTAATATTTCTTCTTGACTTATACTAAAATATTATTTTATTATATTGTATACAACAATTTATTGGTTTTTACCTTATCCTCCCCGCACTTTGCGCCGTCCGGGACCATACCAGGGTCGACATCGCTCAAGCCCAAGTCTATTATGGCCGTGCGGCACGGAATTATTGTACCTGAGGAGGACATTTAAAATTAAAAAGTTACAGCCTATATACATCCCACTGGTGGCCAAAGGCCTCCTCTCATTTCTGAGAGGGTTTTAGGACAGGAAAATGTACGCCGTGCCTGTGCCACCTAATGCGAGTTGGCGAACTTCACTTCTTCGAAATATTTTTTATTTTATTTCTTAGACATGCAGTTTCTTTACGATGTTTTCCTTCACCGCCAAATAACAATTTCATTGGTGCCGGCGGGGATCGAACCCGGGTTGCTTGCGTACTGTAAAATTTACAGTAAGCGCTTAGCCCCTGAGCTACCACGGCTTATTATAAATAATAATATATAATAATATTTAAGTATGGTAAGAATTTCATAACAATGAAGTGGCTTGGATGAATACGTCGCCGGTATTTTATTGCTTGGTACGTCGTATAAGGGTCATCTCACATTATCAACATCAATTCGCAAAATAGTTTTTTTTTTATATAAAAATGTGATCTCATAGACTAAACTAAAATTAAACAAAAATAGTCTATAAACATCCGGTGAGTTTCTTACTGGCTTTTACCCTGGAGCTAAAGTGGCAATGACGTGGACGGCCACGGAATATAAAAAACAAAAGGAAGAAACAAAACGCATAGTTTGTACCAGAACTACTGTCACAAGAATGGAATGTGTACCTACAATTGTGCACCATTTCAATCATTTTTGTGTGATTGGCTACTAAAAAATAAAGGCTTTATGTTACACACTATGCACTTGAGTACGAGCCATAAAATCTTAAAAAAAGAGATCATATTCCTTTTCATCGAGGAAGTTTCTAGAATTAATGACCAAATTTTATGTTCATAACGTTATGTGTCGCAGTATTAACGGGATTATTTGAAAACGCACCATAAACTCTTAAAAATAAACACTATTTTGTCTTAATCCAAAAAGTTTCTATGATTGACGAAAAAAATCTGATATGTAACGCTAAATGTTGCAAATAAAAAATTACGCTACTATAGGCATAATCGTAATATAAATAACGTTGATTTCGCCCTAACTTAAATGATGTGAGTGATGTAGTTACTCTGCCTGAACGTGATCTGACTTAGGCGAATACTACACGCGCGATATTTATCACGATCTGGGACGCGATCTGGAATGACGTATCGCGATCCATATCGACACACCCTACACGTTCATTACGGATCACGTCAGTATTGGGCACAAAACTGTTAAGTGCAGACTAGCGATGGGTGTTGAATCAACGAACTAGTTGAATCAACCGTTGATCTCCTGTCAACGTATTAACGTTTATGAAACAACTAGTTCAATTGGTCAACGACGTTTATGACGTGCGTCTCGTTCAATAAACGAGAACGCAAACGCAACGGACTGACCAAATTTAAAAAAAAACTTACGTTGAAAATACGTCATAGACTGCGAGCGACAGTCAAGTCCTGCAATTTGAACTCTAAGTAACGTATTAAAGAGAGTTGATTTTAGAAATATTTATTTTAAGAATAGTACTTATGACGATATTGGTGGAATGGCACCCCCCGCCCCCTCGTGCCGCCCGAGAAGGATAAGTTATCACTAGTTTGTTTGTTTACGTTTATGAACAATATGAAGTTCGCTTTCTTTAGTTTTGATTGACAGTTTGTGACAAGTTGAGCGGAAGGTCATAAGTTTTTTTACGGCTTATCGTAAATATTTAAAATTTTTAGTAAAAGTTTATAGTAACAGTGTAAATTTGTTTTTGTTAATACAACTGTGTATATTTGCATAAAATAGTACTACTTGAGGTACAAAATTGAAAATGTCGGGACGTACTAGGAGTAACAGTGAATTGTGACCGGTTGAAGGGGTATGAATTAAATGTTAAATAAAACAAATTGACGAATGTACATAAAATAAACATAAGAATAATGGAAAAAATATATAAAACAAAACTATAAAAAAACATATTGTAAATAATAATTGATTTGTGTAAATAGAATCAGATGATCTTTTAAATTATATATAAACTAATTGTATTCAGTCAGTCCTAAGCCTGAAGAAAAAGTATTATGGGAAGGTCATCTAAGTAGATCTACCAATAAAACGTTTTCCAATAAATATAAATTGTTTAAACATTGAACTTCGCAGCGTTGAATAAAAACCGTTCAATGAAGTTAAGGTTTACGTTGAAAGTTGACATTAGTAGTACGTTAACTCGTTGACGGATTCAACTAGTTGACAAAAGTAAATCAACGTTAACGTTTCGTTAAAGGAAAAACCGTCAACGACCCATCGCTAGTGCAGACATATCTAAAATTGACTGAAATGTAGAAAAAGCTTTTTTTTAGTAGGATAGGGTGACAAACGAGCACACAGTCCACCTGACGGTAAGTGGTTGCTGTGGCTCATAGAGATCTACATCTATCCTCGATTACAAATCAAAATGCAAATGCGTTGTCCCCCGTGAGGATTAAGATGGAATGCCTCGTTTCCAGTAAAAAAGGTCTCCGGTTCTCTACACTCACCATAAGAAACAGAGCAGTATTAAGCTACTATTTTACGCCGGTATTCTGTGAGAGCGTGGTCCTTCCCCAGTCAAGCCGACCTATTTGTGCTACAACTATACTACTAATATAACTGCAGCATGGCTCTACCACTTTTAAAAGCTTGTGTAGCTATCATTATGGCAATAATATTAAAAAGGAGAGTGTCGATTTTAACGATTTTTTTTTCTAACATCTTCTATTGAAGCGTCATTTTTTATTTTTTTATAAATTGGTAGTAACTTCTGAAGTGCCTTCATGCGCTTACAATTGTTTTTAAAGCCATCATACGATGTGTCCCATAATATGGGCGTTGTTTCCAAACATAATATAAAAGCCTGTAAATATTTTTGACGGATTGTAGATGGTCCCATCGAAACAGGATTCTCGCTTTCGTTTGCGATTTCGCCCACATCGCTACAAAAGTCGTCCTCTTCCCGCTTCTCCAGAGTAGACTGACGCGATCCGTATCGCAACAACACTATACGCGAAATATTCATCACGATCCTTGGATCGCGATATGGATTTTCGGAAATCTAGAAATTCTGTGATCCGTATCGCGATCCATCAATACTTGATACAACACGTTCAGTAAATATCACGCGTGTAGCATTCGCCTTTCCGATATTCATTCAATAATAGATTTCCGTTCTGCAGTAGTGGCTACTTCAAATTAAAATTATTTTTGTTTGAGTAAGAATTCTAATTTTAAATTAATTTTATTTTAAAAACATGAATTTTTTTCTCAAAATCAGTCATTTGCTTATTGATTAGCGTTATATTTTCATCGCATTTAAATCTTTTTCTTCATCATCGTTAAAAATTTGAGTATTGATGGAATATGCGTAGCGTTGTGGCAGCAGGGCGGCACAAGCGGCACGCAACATCAACGACGTTTACGGAGCCGTTTGCCCGCTTCCGTTCTGGATATTTCGACCTCAAAAATGTAAAAATTCGGTCGGCAATGACGAATTAAAGGCGATTGTGGAAGCTGATGAAACTCAATCTACGGCTGAATTCCAATATTGTACAAAATGGCATACTTTCGCATATATATTACCTTAGCAGTGACCCGTTAGCTCGCGACAATTTGAGCCAGTCTATTACACTCTATTATCCCAAATTGTGACATGCATGCCCCACCCACTTTAGACTTTCTCTTGGTTTTATATTCCGTAGAGTCGGCCATATAGTTCGAAGAACTGGCAACTGACGGAAAAGAATGGTTCTCAAATGGTAGCTTCGTATCGGTAAGCACAAGTTGGAGTGACAATTTGGTAAAAGATGCAGTTAGTCGATGGATGCTGCTTGGTCCGGACCGCGCTTTGTGGCATTTTTTGGGAGGCCTTTGTTTGATAAGAACTTGTGAAGGGCTGTTATTATAGTGATGGAACTATGTATATCATGACGATGATGATGAATGATGATGCATTAGAATGGAAAACCACGAAACAATTTCACACAATTTCACAATATCTGTGTTCAATAATGTAAATATGTACATAATAATTTGTGTCAATGTACGTGTGAATTTACACGAGTACGTACACGTGGATGTATAAGTGCGTGCAGAATACGTGCGTATACAATGACACGTAGTACGTTGGCATACGATGACGGGTACATATACGTGTGCGTCCACGGTGTGTGTTTTTTTTATAGAATAACTGTAACAAACAAGCATGCAGTCCATCTGATGGAAGTGGATGCTATGATCCATATAAATCTATATTTATACTCGATTAAGATTTAAAATGGAGATGCGTTGTTACCCCTGAGGACTAAGATGCAGTGCCTCGTATCCAGTAAAAATAGTTGTGGCACAGTTCACGATGCGAAACCACAGCAGCATTAAGCTGTTATTTTACGCTGATATTCTATGAGAGCTTGGCCCTTCGTGGGCGAGCCGAGCCATTCGTGCTACAAGCATAACATAGCTGCACCGTGGCTCTATAGGTGCGTGTGCGTGCACATGGCAGTCACCGTTGTTGTTGATGAAGAGCGCGGAGAGCTGCGCGACGGACTCCATGCCGAACTCCAGGCGCTCGTTGAGGTGGCGGCACTGCAGCAGCCCGCAGCGCGCGTCCGCGCTCGCGCACGGCCGGAAGATCTGCCGCACGCGGTCGTAGCCGCAGTTGCCGTTCCTGTCACGTGCCGGCACGCATTACTATATTGTACGTACTCACACCCAATCTTGTACGGGTAACCGCTTTTTTCGCCTTTATCATCATAATAATTATCATATACTACAAAACCAATAACCACACAAAAATACATTTTTACAGAGACTATAGTCTAAGTAAATATTTTTGTACTAATCTTTTTTCCGTATAGTAGCGGTGTAAGAATATCCACTACCGTATATCATTCTGTGGAGGTCGTAAGAACGACAGAGGGAATAAAATCAAAAGATGCGCAGCAACATGTACCCAATAAATTCCAAAAATAAAAAGACTGCGGTTACCAAACATGGCAACTTTGGCAAATAACTATGAGACTCTACAGGAAGGCCTACTGATTATATACCATTTTTGACATATTTTCAGCAACGGTACTTTCATCTCTTTTCACATTTCTTACTGACCCATGAACACATTCATCTAATTCAAATATGGCAGAGTGTGAACATTGTCCACAGGTTCTAAATAAAAATATAATAATCAGCAAACAACTTAAGAAAATCACCCGCTAATTTGTATGGATAAGAGCCCCCGCACCTCAAATACGTAGCTTAAATAACACCGTGTTATCGTTTTTCGCGCATGCTATATTTGTAGCGCTTACTTGGTCCCTTTGACGTTGGTGGAGGTGTAGCAGCGGTTGTCGGAGCTCTCGCCGGTGGCGCCCCACAGCAGCCGGCACTGGTCCGAGTGCGAGCGGCACGCACCTCGCACGCAGTATGCCTAAACACAAAATACATTATATGATATTGTACGAATTGTAATGTAAGAAAAAATAAACCTTCAACTAACAAACAGTGACGAAGCTATGGCTCCAAACTAGGGCAAGCCCAAGATATGGTTTTGTTGTTTTTAGCAGTTTTATAAAATACACCAATATTGAACTGTCTCCACTCTTCAGTTTCATATTCAGTACTGTCAAGGACGTGATTATTAAAGCACACAGAAAGCATACTACTGCTAGATAGATTGTATGACATATGCAATTGGATACCTTCGATGGCTTTGAAAAGCGCCGTTTGGGTTTGCTTGAGCGGAAGAAAAAGATATTTACATACAAAACATGAACTAAAGAAAAGCATGACCAAGGTACAAATAAACTATGTACAAAATTAAAAAAAGGGGCGCCTGGCAGATGTGAAACATCGAAATTATTTTGTTTAAGTTATATGCATAGAAGAATTATAAGATTACGACAGGAATTAGATACGCTTTAAAGAACAGATAAAGAAATTTTTTTACCATAAAATAATGACTATTTATTATACAATTGTTCATTTTCAATTTTAAAAAACATAATTTATTATCATATTTTATAAATTAATATTTATATTGTAATATAAATATTAAATTATAAAATTAGCCGATAGCGTGTATATGCCATCTAGCGCAATCTTTATGTACCTCCGTGAGAATTAATCAATCAATCAATTTTCGTTCGATAAAATGACTTCACCTATAGAATTAAGTAGATGGCGCTATTAAAATTTTATATACTGAAGGACTAAAAGAAATATTTTTTAAAAAACTCAATACATGTATTCTTTTGATTTATTAAATTAAAATTTGGGCTTCACGTTATAAAAAATATTGTAACAATTATTTGCTATTATATTAAACTTATACCTAGGTATCTCATATTTTATGTTGCCGTTCAAAATGATATTTTTAACTCATATGATAATATAAGTATTGAGTTATTCAACCTTTAAATACGCCTAGCTTAATTAAACTTTAATACCAAAGAGCCCTGTACCCATTAAAGTATGAAAAAATGTTTATTGAATTAAAATTTCATATTTAAAGATTTTACCTTTTCCTCGCCGATTAGCACTTTAAAACAATTATAGTCATCACAACGATCATTATTATCCTCCCATTTTCACTAAAAATCTTTGAAAAAGCATAAATTTTCAACATACACATTAAAAACAAACATAAACATTGAAATGTGAAGTGAACTTGCAAACTTATCGCCCGCACGCCCAGTCGCTAACGCACTCCTAAACAATTTCAGAGTTCAACAACTTCTATAAACATTTCGTCGTTATATTTCATTCTAATGAAATGTAATTACGAAATATTTATGAAAATGTTCTCTAGAACATTTTGCCACAGTTTATAAAGGCTGCGATCGTCTTCTCGAAAGCCCAGTAAAAAGCCAACGCATGCGAGAGAGACGACAAAATCAACTCTTTGCTTTCATTAATTTTGACAGTCCAGTGTATTTCGAATTGAAAGCAAACTGCCAAATGTTGACGTTACATATATGCAATGAGGACCTGTCCAGAAAAGAGGAGCGCGCGGGAAATTTGAAATAGTTTGAAACAGTTTAGGAGTTATTTTATTAGTTGATACTATTGATTGAGCAGATTGAAAAGGCAAGCCTGGCTTTTCGGCTTCTATGGAGGCTTCGCCACTGCTGACAAATAAACTAAGTTTAATAAACATATTACAATTTACAATCTATAACAAATATTTTAAAGAGAGTGCAAGTTTTTTGAGTATGTATATATGTGTATTCTCCGGAACCACTGCACATGTTTAAAAATGCTTTAATTATTTGAAAAGTACATTATTCCAGATACACATGGCTATATATTTTCATGTTCAAGTTATGATGATATTAGTCTTAAGTCGAAAAAAGTCGTACCTCTTGAGAGCGTCCATAGCGTGTGATGAGTCAATAATTAAGTTGCACAAACGTAATGTATGGCTGAATTGTTTCTCTGTAAAAGTTCTAAGAATCGACAGCAAATACATTTCTTCTAAGGATAACTTACAGTTACTATTTTTCTATAAAAACTCTTGCGCTCAAAATAAGTATGGTGTCAGTCGGTGCAGAGGTAGCAGGAATGTCGGTGCGGTAGTCGCTGTGGCCCATAGACATCTACATCTATCCTCGACTACGAATCAAAATGCCGATGCAATATCATCCGTGAGGACTAAGATGGAAGCCTCATTTCCAGTAAAAGGGGTCTCCGGTTCTCTAATTAACCATACGAAATACAGCAGCGTTGAGCTGTTATTTTACGCTAGCATACAACACAAAAATTCATAAATATGTTAGCGCCTATTATTTTATAACGCACGCACACATCCGTAAGAGAGCGTTGAATTCGGATGCAGTCGGTGGCGGTCTTTTCGGTGCTCGCGCTCGGTTCCAGATATAATTACCTATCTAACATTTGTTTTGACTCGGTAAAGACAAGCTCGTCTCCCCGCCCTTTCACTTCCGTAAGCCGTTACACCGTTACACATCCTAGGTACGTCCGCTCGGCCGACCGAGTGTTTCGCTTGACTATGACCTCATTACATACGAGTGTCCTACTTTTCAATTTTTGTAGGGAGTATTACTTGTCACTTCATTACCAATGACGCAACGAAAATATTCGAATCGAAAATACTAAGAAATGGTACGGTTACATTTTAAGCAATGAAAGTTTACATAGTGCGCAAATATTATGTGAAAGTGAGCCTTTACCGTATTTGCAGAGACAAGGAATTAACGCATGTATACCACCCAATCGGAGAACAAGTTTTGCAGCTAACCAAGGGCTGTTAGACTTTGGACACTTTACCAGTCCGTCACGTAGAAGTGCTCGAGGTGAACATTCAGTAATAAGCGCGGCTGTCGAAACGCAGTGATCAAGTTTTTCGAGCCAAATCCCCGCGCGAGCACCAATGATGCAGCTCAAGACTTCAGAGTAAGCCAGTACTACGTGTGGAAGCCACTGAATTCTTCTGGATATCACCCATTTGCCGAGTGTGCAAGCACTGAATAATAACGATCGTAGAGCTCGAAAACATTTTTGTGAATGGTTAGTGTTATTTCGATTCATTGCATACTAAAGTTGTAAATAATTAATCGTTTTAAATTGTTAATAGTTGTAAATACTTGATTCCAAATTTTTTTAAATAAGCCTTAATAAATACACACATCGGTTACGTTGTTGAAATTCTTTTAGTTTTATTTATTATGGCGGCCATTAGCCTGTCTAAAGTATGAAGGCAATATTATAATCATAATTATCGGCAACTTAGTAGCGAGCGTGTCATTAAGGAAGTAAATAATACGTAAAAGCTTCGTGTACTGAAACGTACACACACGAGCACGCGTACGCTGGAGTTGTTGCCCATAAATCATATTCAATTTCGGATATTTTCAAATAAATGTAGAACACTTATTTACGCGTATTTTTAAAAACTGCAAGAAGTGTTTTTTCAGTCTGTTTATCAGTTTTTATATTTGGGACAAGGACGGTTACGTCGGAATTCTCGTACCAACCAAAACCCCATGGTGTGCACAAGGCACGTCTTCCTACACATTCTCCATCTCTATCTACTTGGAGGCCATGAGAGAGAGAGGCGAGAAACAACGAGCACACGCGGACTATCAGATCTCAGGCGTTGACCTAATACGCTTCGCCGCCGTCAAACATGTTTTGGCCATGAAGGGCAATATAAATTACATAACCTAACTTACTTATGATCAATGTAATGCAGGATCAAGAATGGCATTCTACGGTAAATTCAGCGATAAAGTATAAAAAAATGTTCGCAATTTTTTTTATCACACGCGGCGGATCATTTTCAACCACAAATGTGGCTTAAAATATAAGATTTTTTTGCAGTTATATTGTGGTTGCAGCACGAATGGGTCGGCTCGACCGGGGTAGGACCAAGCTTTCACAGAATATCAGCGTAAAATAGCAGCTTAATGCTGCTGTGTTTTTACTGGAAAAGAGGCATTCCATCTCAGTTCTGAGGGCTGGCAAAGCATTTTGATTCGTAATTGAAGGTAAATGTAGATGTCTATGTGCCACAGCAACCACTTACCATCAGACTGTGTGCTCGTTTGTTACCTTTATTCTATATAACAAAAAAGAATAAAGTTTAATTTTATAGCAAATAACTATTACAATCTTGATTTTTATATTAAATTTTAGTGTAATAAATCAGAAGAATATTTTCTTTCGAGTAAAATGACTATGTAATAGCGCCATCTACTACATAATTTTTTGTTTCATCAACTTTATAATCACAACGATTTTAAAGAAGTTTTCGCTTAAAAAAACCTACTAGTATTTACTCCTTTAACGTGAAGCCGTTTTGTGCAAATATATTGCACATAGAAAAACATCCAGAACAATTGAACAAGATTAGTTATGCAATTTTGATTCAAATACTGAAAATGTTCACCTCATTGTTCCCGCAAGGCGTGGTATCCATCCGGTATACATCTTTCGGACAGAACTCCGAATGTCCCGTGCAATATTCGGGAAGGTCACACTCGCGTTCCGCTGAACGACAGACCGTTCCCGCCGACTTCGGTCTACATGTCTGTAAAATAATTAAATTTATTAATAATTATACAAGGCGTAAGTGTAAATACCGTTGGCACTAAAACCATAGGTAGTTGGTTTTAATATCAAAATATTTACCCGAATTTAAAATAAAAAAAACGCTATTTTCCTTCATAAAATTTAAAAAGTTTCTGTCCGACACCGTCCGTAAATTCATGGATACCGTATGCGCCAGAGTGACGTAATCACTGTAAAGATCACCGCCATACAAAACATTCCAATAAAAACACAATAGGTACACATAACCTGTGATGTAACTTTTTCTTCATACTTTTATCCTGGCTCAGGACAGGCAAAAATTGAGGAATTAAGGAAAAATTGAGATTTTATTTTAAACAAAAATGTTGTTATTTTCGTAATAAGTGAAACCAAACCAATGGTTTCAAGGATAACGGTGTATACACTAACAGCCTGTATAACAATCTCTAAATATAAATTATAAGTTACAAATCATAAATGGTCAGGTGGTAAGATTCCTTTACTGCCAAGGAGTCCGTTTGTGTGAGACCAGCCTTTTACTTATTTCTGCGGCTAAATAGCAGTGCAGTAGTGCAGCGATAATGGTGTTTACCGACCTGAAGGGTTGATTCAGTGTAATTACAGGGGTTGAGGTATTCCATCTTATACCTCGATAGCAACGCATTGGTAGATTCTACGTTGACTGCATGTCAATAACAACAGTCAATCTTTTATATGTTTCTTCGATCGATAAGGGAAAAAGGAAAGGAAGAATAAAGACTGTTGTACATTTTTTCTAAAATATTTTTTTAATAATGTACTTGAATTACACAATTGACAATAACTTCTCACCAGCAACAGAAGACGACATCTGCTACAGACGTCAAACAAAGAAAATCATCGTTTAGCTTCTTCTTAAACATCTTTATAAACTATCACACAGATGATAATAGATCTTAGTAAATATAAACTTTAAAAAAATCTTTATGAACTGTTTATTTTATGACAACTTCGAAGAGCATCTGCAACATCATCACTACATATCATCACAAGTCTTCTATAGGCCTTCCAAATAGATTCCAACAAAAAACACGGTCCTAAACCACCTGCATACATCTGTGACCACCAAAACTGTGGCAGTACAGAGTTAATGAATATACTATACCGAAGTATTTCTGAACTTTGATAGCGTGATTTGAGACTTTCGCCTATAGGGCGAAGACGACTGCGCTGTTACATCACCTAATTATTTCCACGGTTAAATATCGAGGAGGAGAACCCTACAATCATTATTGCAAGTAAAAAACTATAAAAATGAATGTAATCGTCGTTAAGCTACGTAACAGTCTTCTTTATGAATTAATTTTTCCACAAAATTTTCTGCCACCAATGTGGCGAAACTTAAGAATGAGGTGAAATTTTTGTTTTGTTAAATGTAAAGGTTAATGTTTTTATTTTATAAAATCGGTTATATTTTATATTAATTAGATAAGAAATGAATATTACTAAAAGTTGAAGAATTAAAAGAAGTTATAAATATGTACAAAAATTAATAAAATAAAAAACAAACCACTGAGATATTGTTTTGTGTATCTATATACTCTAGAAACCGATTTTTTTTTAACAAAAACGTGCTTTCCAGATAAAATGATGTTGAGTTTCAAATAACTTCATCTCAGTGCAAACTAGCGACATCTGGTGAACAGACGATTATTAGCCGTCATTGTCAGTATTTTTTTCTTTGATAATGGACTCGTACGATTGTAATTTTGCCAGTGTCAAGTAAATTAAGAAAGTATCATTTATAATGATTTGTTTCAAACTCCTTCATATTATGTCGATGCGTCACAATCACATTATAGTTTTTGGGAGATGTTAACGGCAGCTCAAGCCAGCAGCCAGGCGATGACGTTAGTATCTTAAGACGCCAATGCGTGCTTTGAGATTCACATCAGCCTCTGAGCACTTGTTTCATAGTTTTCACTAATACTTAGTTCACATACCCAGACATTGAAAACAAAAAATCGCCCCATTTAACAAATTAAAATCCACTTGAAATCATTATTAAAACATTAATACAATAGTCACAATCCGCCGCCGAAACAGCTTATTGTTAACTCGAAACCACCAGTTTCCTTATCCTCACCTGGAAGTCACAGCAGGGCCCCGCAGCGCAGCTGGCGTTGCTGCGCAGCATGCATGTGGTGGGCTCGCAGCAGGCCAGGCACGCTGCGCGCGTCTTCTCCTCGCCCAGCCCGCAGTCGCACTGCTCTCCTGGCTCCACGAACCCGTTCCCACAAGTCGGCGACTCGAACAGACGCTTCGGTTTGTTCCTATCGGACATCACTTATTTATACAGCTGTCAATTGTTCTTCGGTTGGTAGGTACGGTACTTACGTGACGTTAACTTTTTGCCGCGGTAAAGACTTACTTTCGTATAATTTTGCGCACCACGTTATATAATACTGCACCTTTACAAAGTTTCATAGTATTCGCGGTTTGAATATTTTTGATCCGTCCTTTATAAGGAAGTAACATTACTAATTACGAAAATTTTAAAATAGCAGTAGCACACTTGTACGTAACGAGGTCACAGTCAACACTGTTAGCTGTCGGCCAGCCTGGCGGACGTAGGTACCTACTAACCTAGCGGCGTAATGATTAACTGAAGGAAAGTGCGCGATAAGACGCGCGACAAGGTCCCAAAATTTTATAACTGAGCTACCCTTACGAATATGAGCATGCGTAGTAAAATAGTAGGCGTTAGATATTTATGTATGACAATCAGTTAAAATAATGAATTACCACGCATTCTGAATTTAAATGATAAAAAGGGCACAATGTTTAAGATTTTTTTGAAATTAATTTTTTTCACCATTCGCCTATATATTACTTATGCTGAACCTTCTCTGCAAATTTGGCCGTATATTGCAAAATGACCCCGTATAATATATTATGTATACATTATACAGATAAATAAACTAAGTATTATATAATATATTAGTACAGAAATATAATAAGTATAGCAATAAATATTATATGGATATTCAGGTGACAAGCATTGTCTTTAATAGATGATAACGAACCAATGTTTTAAAAGCATCGTTATTGGGTGCATTTCTGATGTGATGAATTCCAAAGACATGTAGTCTGAACAGTAAAAGAGTTACCATAGAACTCTTTGGAGTAAGGAGAATTATAGATTTTGTTGTTAGAAGAACTAGTAATGCAAATGTAGTACGCTATCATGAGACGAGGAGATGTAGTGAAATTTACTCCTAAAATAAACAAGCAAGAATGCATACTTCTTGAAATAGTATATGCTAGGAATAGGAATAAAATATGCGCAATTCAATTCTTGTTTCTCTAATCAATAAACAAAAATATTATCGATAATATGAAAGGAGTGTTATCTTAATCGATTACTATTTATTTTAGATCCTTTTTTTCCCGATAGTAAAAAAAAAAATAAATAAAGTAACTTTTGACCACCGAATGTCACAGGCTAACTTCGTGCTGAACAAATATGCATGCGAGTAAATAAAAACCAGTGTCGCCGAATTTTTATATAACTGTCCTTTGATAAATCTACAGATTATATATTTATATTATCCTAAATGATTGTCGGTGATAAAATAATTAGAATTCTCATATAACATGTATTACCAACCTTAGACAGTAATCCATGCCCCTCTCAAACGACAGCGCCAAGGACCTCAAGCTGCAAGATGACCAGTGTATGGGCATCACGGACGTACTGGACGGGCTCATGATGCACTTTTCGTCGGGACACTCGCAATCCTCCTCAGTGTCGTGTTCCATGCCGAAGTTATGGCCCATTTCATGCGCTATCGTTGTAGCCACGAGCCCTATGACCTCTGAATGGTTGGTCGCAACACCTCCGGAGAATTCAAAAGTGCAAATTGGCCCTTTCAGAGCTTTACCAACGACGCCCTCTTGGAATTTTTGGCGGCTGAAAACAAAAACAGTAATTGAATTGTTGTAGTTATTCTTTATTATTTGTAGAAATGTAATTATTGTCATTGCTGGGTTTCTTGCCGGTTCTTCCCAGGATAGAGGTTTTTTCTTGGAACTAGTGGTAAAAGCGTCAATGAATTACAATAAGTATTCTTGAATCTATATTAAATTAATAATTATTCTATTTTATTTCTTATATTTCTTGAAAGAAAATTATTTTTATTTGATTTCATTGAGTTAATTTCAAGCGATTATGATTCTTATACTCACGTTAATAAATGTGCATTATCATTGGGTATTTCTGATAACAGTCGCATTCTCCTGTACACAAGAAAGTTCGTTAGAGTCCTATCACCGTTCTCCTCTAATTGTATTTCGTCTCGCTCGTTCCACACCACTACGCCCACTAATGCTATGAAGATGTTCAACGGCGAGTATACCTAAAAATTGAAACGCATTATCGTTAAACAAAATTCAGATGATTGCCTCATTCATCATTCACTATACCCGCAGGACTCTGCCTCGTCTATAGATTGCCTCATAGGGGGGAGGCCTTATTTGCCATAAATGACTGGGGCAAAATATCAGGAAGATGCTGCTGACTATATCTCGTTTCAATCAGGGCTTGCATGACCGAAAAATTATGGGTTATAACCATTGAGCTATTATGTAGTACGGCGTCCTATCTTTTTATCTCGATATCTTAATACTGCGACACAAAAGTATTTGAAACAAAGGTACCGTTATTTTCGTCGCTACCTAACTATCAACAATCAACATAAAGGTTTTCTTTTTCTTGCGCTTCATAATTATATACGACGGAATATTAGCAGCAGAAGTATTTTTTAAAACTATGACGTCATTATTGAGATTTCTAATTTCACTTATTATTGATTACTTTAATAAAAAACCACTTATTTACTTTTAACTGATTTTAATAATCACTATTAATAATCATTCACAATTAACAATTATTCACTATTGTTCACAATTTATAGTTCAAAAAATTCAACTTATAGTCCGACCAGCACGACAGCTCGAGCAAGAATGAAGATGAATCCTGCCCCATTTTTTTTTGCGCCCGAAGCAAATATGGGCAACCCTCCGGAAAGCGGGGGAGGGAGGTTGGGAATGCTGGAACGCAGCCGGCTGCGTGGTTATGTGGTGACTTTTACCCACTAAACCCAACCTTTTAGGAACTGGCTTAACGATCTAACTAGAGATCTCTAAGCCGTATACGAACGCGACCCTCCTTGGCAGAAAGGAGGGCGCAGAATCCTGCCCCAGCTGTCGCGCGCCTTTTAAACCGAATGCAAGTGTGCTCAAGCCATCCCCACTTCCTGCGCTTTGAGAATGATTGCCTTCAAATTGTTATTGTAATTTTATATTATGTTAGTAATGTTTTGTAATTGTCGACAACCCGCATTTAATCATATTTTGAATTTACAAAGCATTTTAAATTATTTATTTAGTAAAAATAATCAACTAATTATAAAAATAAAGACACGTGTTATAAAAGTACGGGTTATAACGTTATTTCAGTAGTTGCAAATAAGGTTTATTAATTTTTAAATCAATAATAATTGTTTAAGTAATGCGCCGATACGTCGCTTATACTTTGTTGCGCTGATATATATTTATAATTTTAAGTTCCTTAAAGTCGATATTTACCTTTTAAAATATATATAGTTCCGATATACCTTGAGCATTTATTTTTATAATTTTATAAAGCGTTAACGATCACAGAAAGTCTTTACGGCTAACCTCGAAGATTGAAACTACAACTTAATTTGTACTGCTGGTATATGCACTGTAGGCACGCACTGTGATATATTGAAGAATTGCTGTCGTAAACATTTTCAGCCTGATGAATAGAGGTAGTTCAGGAGATAAATGTTTAATTTTGATGATTTTTTTTAATTTAGTCCACAATTACGTCAACTGTATTAAACAACTTCAATTTACTGCATTTTGAAGAAAATATTTAGAACTCTCTCACTAAACATCGATAGGTCTCAGTCTCAGTTGTTATTGATATATTTTAAAAGTATAAAAATTATATATTTAAAAGTATCCTCAGATAGCTTTGGATTATTCTGGAATTATGTCTGGAGTAGAAAAGGCCGGAATTTCAAGCAGCTTAAATAAAATACTATGGAGGTTAGAGAACAGGAGAACGATCACTACGTACTAAAGCATAGCCCGCCTGTCCTTGAAAATTGTAGAATGTATAGCGGCGCTGACGTCGGTGAGTAGTAACTGCGAAGTTAGCTGTTTATGAGTACAAGTAGATGAAGTTAGTTGAATAATGTACAAATTTTCTCCGCGGCATTGGTGAGAAAATTTTCATACTCCGTAATTTTGTAATTTTTGACAAAAAGAAACATTAAGAAATGGAGAAATATTTTATTGTGCGTGGATGTGCAAGTGGTTTAGCATCTGATCGGAAAAATAGACTGAAAATGACTTTTATTGAGCGAACTTAGCGATCGCAGCGCCTCACTTATGGTGTACATATTTCTGGGACACTATTTTCTACGGCGCTCGTTCTCCTGTTCTCTAACCTTCATGTAAAATACTTACGGAATTGATAATATTAGCGACGGCCTTCAGTTGTCGATGCACTGTCCGTATGTTTTCGCCGTTCGCTTTATACTCGCGGTTGTCGGCCACCAGCACCAGTTCCACGTAGCGCGACAGCTTGTTAGCGTTGAACGGGCCCCGCACCTCCGTGTCTTCGTACGCCTCGCGTTTATACTAGAAAACATTACAATTATATGAATAATACTAAAATTATTTAAGTTTCAAAACTACGAATATACGAAAAATCAAATCGTTTACCACCGTCGATAGGGACTTACACATGATTAAAAGCCGAGCAACGCACCTGCAATTCCCCAGTTTTTCATGGGCGGCGGTCGATAATTACCACCAGGTAAGCCGCGTGCTTGTTTGCCTTCTCTTCTATAAAAAAAAGTATCGGTCGCCTCAACGTGGGTTCTATACGTGGTAAAGCCATGCTGCAGTATACGTGGTAGAGCCATGCTGCAATTATATTAGTAGTAGCACGAATGGGTCGGCTCGACCGGGGAAGGACCACGCTTTCACAGAATACCAGCGATAGATATTATTTTTAATTATTTTATTTTTATACAGAATGGGTCCCACATATATGCAATAAATGAAACCACAAGTAATACTAGTCCGTAGAAGTGTAGAAAAATTAAATATTAAATTAAAACCCGTAAAATAAAAAAGTGAAATTTTCAAACAAAATAAATATTAAAATAAATTCAGTAAAAGTGAACACTCTATTTAGACAACGTACCTTGACCCCTTGGAAGAGTGACAACGTTGCACGCGAGTGGCACGCCGACAAAAAACACCGCTGTCGATATGTCGCAATACCAATAGTTTGCACTGCGTGGCAACGTCGCTTTTTAATGTTCAAGGATTCAAGTTCATTGAATCATTGACTTAGTGACCCAATTCTATAGTGTTCAAATTTGCTTAAAATTAAAACTCTACTTTTTGACCTAATTACTGGACCGATTACGTTCATTTTTTGTATATCGTCAGCAAAGGCGATAAAAATTATATGGTTTCATTTATTGCATATATGTGGGACCCATTCTATATATATCAAATATGTCTAATAGTAGCTTAATGCTGCTGTGTTTCGTATGGTGAGTGTAGAGAACCGGAGACCCTTTTTACTGGAAACGAGGCATTCCATCTTAGTCCTCACGGGTGACAACGCATCTGCATTTTGATTCGTAATCGAGGATAGATGTAGATGTCTGTGGGCCACAGTAACCACTTACCATCAGGTGGACTGTGTGCTCGTTTGTCACCCTATCCTATATAAAAAAACGAGAGATGATCACGTTCTCAAAGAATAAAATCGTAAAGCTGCTGTGTTTCGTATCGACAGTGCAGAGAACCGGAAACCCTTTTTGTAGGTAACCATGTACTCTGTCTTTGTCATCAGGCATGACGACGCATCTACATTTAGATTCTTAATCACTTAGCACATACAGCACTTACCATCATGTAGAATGTAGATGAGAGTATGCTCGTTTGTAACACTTATTCTATAAAAATCTTCAATTTTCATTGAATCTAGTTAAGGTGGCCCTAGTCGATGCCACAAACTACGTGGTGGGCGGGTTTAAAATGCATGCTATCTCAGCCGACATCACGTGCGAAAGCGAAAGGCATGACGATTTACAACAAAACGAGCGCGCTAAATTTTATAAACAGACCTTTGAGAATCTGGATATCATGAAAAATCTATTGAATGTATCTGTTCAAAATAAAATCATTTGCATTTTTGAACACCTAATCTATCCCTGTATTGCAAATATTATGCAATTTTCGTTCTTCTTATGGTATTTGTTTCCGCCCAAAAATGTGTTAAAATAAGTACTTTTAAATATATTCTTTTTTAACTTTTTTGTTTTCATACAGGGCTAGATAATGATGAGACAAATTGAAATCATTTTTTATTTTGAACGTACACCTTAATAGTGTTCTTCTGGAAGAATGAGTGGCTAGTGTACCCTTAATATAGTAATGGGACTATAAGTGTTACCAGTGCGAGGCTGTGGACTGTTCTCACCAAACCTTCGTAGCATAGCTTAGTGATTACGGGTAATTTTTTAATTATGTAGGACGGTAAAAACGTTCTTATATGCGCCTTTGTGCAGCCGTAGATTATAAATATAAATACTTACCCGATTGATTCTGCCGCGCTCAACATTTCGTTTTTTGATATGTTTCTCCATTAGTTGCGGGTCGAAGTGGGTGTTGTTGGTGACGCCACCGTCGTAGCCGCAGCGGTGGTGGGTCGTGAGGTCCGAATGGTCATAGACGTAGTGCTGAGAGGTGATCTCATCGTCTATAAATTAAAATAGTTTGCTATTATAGGAAAAATAACTCGTAACATCATGGAACTAAATTAATTCTATGCATTTGTACCAGAAGGTATTGTAATCAAGCACTGGTTTACTAGTAAAAATAAATTTCTTGTAAAAGTTATGGTTAAACTGTTGATAATCATTTTACATACAAAATGTTTAAATTTATATAAGGAATTCTAAAAAAGCCGTTAGAATTAACAATATTCCCGTTCTGCAAACACACGCGTGTTAGTACGTTAGTAGTGGTCCACGACAATAGTCGAATGGCGGATACGAAATACCAAAATAAAAAACAAATATAATAATTTTAAGTATGAAATGCAGTGGTCAAGATATTCGTAGAAATAATAATTTCTTATATCTTTACACTACACATTTAAATAAAAGTTTTTTTTACGGATTTTTCGTGTATATTTAACTTATTTTATATTAACTATTTCTTTCGATAGATTATATTATTGATTCTTTTTTCTTGATAATAAAAAAAATTTCAGATAAAGTATAGTTTTGACCACCGAATGTCACACGCTTACTTCGTGCAGCCGTGACCATGGGTGCTGTAAAGAGCTCGAAACGTCGGGAATATAAATTAAAATACGCGAAAAAATCCGTAAAAACTAGATTTATTTTAAAAAATTCGTGTTTGTAGGTACCGTAACTTAATTGCTTCTGGCGCGGTATTACATTTGTTTGTAGGCCATAGCAGCTCTTAATTTGTTCCGTGCGAGATCGAACCCGCGGTTCCGTAGCCGAATGGCCGAATGCTTACCTGCTGCGCTACCAAGCCGTCGATTTTAGCACATAATGCTATTGTGCAAATTACTTTATTTATTTAAACAAATTTTATAGCTTTATTTATTCACTAATCTACTGTTTCTACTATTTATACTATATATTCTACAATCTTATTATTGTCCTTCTACACATTTCAATTGAAGCTAAAACCTTTGAAAGAACTAAAAACTTCAACACAAATAGATATTATGTTAATGCACAAAATGTGAGACCAACCTTTAGCAGGCTCTATGTACAACATTTTTTTGCCGTTGTAGACGACACCTTGGAACCCGTGACATGTTGATATGGCCACCCACGAGTCTGGCCGGCCCCGAATCTTGCCAGAATACTGACATAAGTCTAGTTCCTGGAACGAAAATACGTATCATATATCACTGATCTGCCGCGACTTCAAACCAATATTGTTAAATTTGATTTGTTTACCACTACCTTGTGACTAACATTTTACCTACCGTGTAGTGGCGGTGTAAGAATATCCACAACTCCATATTATCCCGTGGGTGTCGTAAGTAGGCGACAGAGGGAAAAAAATCAGGAGATGAGCAGCATTGTCTTCCTAATAACGACTAGTCATGTGTCATTCATTCATTTCTAGTGACCCAAACCCAATCAATCAAGTATTAATTCGTTTTACTCTGTGATCTGTGAGACCTGCTCGATAGTGATGGTCATCGGACATTACTATACTCTTTGGTCGTAGGTCCTGTCACTCGTTCGATCCAGAACTTTCAAAAAATGTTACTGCAATCATTAATACTTCGATGCGAACCGGGTCAAATGAACGAATCATTCACAATTTACACATGTCTAATAACGACTAAAAATAAAAATAAAATAAAAAAAATTAAAATTCCCTATGAGGCAATTTATGGGGGAGACCTATGTTCAGCAGTGGACTTTAATAGGCTGTAACGGTAACGGTAATTAACACTTCGTGATGAGTGAATAAATAATCTACATTTTTTTTAAATTTCATGCAGTAAACCAGAGATAATACATTCCAAACAATTATTTATTTATACATATAGTGGCGGTGTAAGATCATCCACTACCCCATATCTTCCCGTGGGTTTCGTAAGAGGCGACAGAGGGAAATAGAAACAGTAGATGGGCAGTAGCATCTTCCTGATATTAAAGGGAAATATAATGTCAAATGGCTTAGCAAGATCCTTCGTTATGCCGAAAATATTGCAGCATTAATTTTGAAATAAATATATGGTAAAGTTGAGGATTAATGTTAAGGATTATGTTAGACGAAAACACGATTTTATAAAATTTTCTCGATAAAAAAAAAATCCAAAGTTACCTCCAAAATAAACAATAAACCGCTGTTATTCATAAAATACTTTAAATAAGATCATGAAACTTTGCATACTAACTGAACTAACTATAAAGCAGTGCTTATGTTATTTACTTTTTTAAAAATACCATTATTTTCACTGTAAAAAAGAAATTACCTAAACTATCGGCCTTTTGAAGCGTGATTCCTGCAGCACGGTCACTTCGCCTCGGCCTTTGAACGGGGAGGTTTTGTCGCTTACGATCAGAATATTGTTGCATGAATAAGTCAACTAGCGCCATCTAGTGTCAGGAACGAGAGCGAGGGGAGCTTTGCAGTAAATGACATCACAAATCTTTCGACCGACAGCGCCACCCGAAGAACTAAGTTTCTGGAAAATCTACACTCGAATACTCGTTGCCTGGCGCGCATTTACGTGAATGTTCGGGACGCTTCTTTGCTAATTATATAAAATAGGCGCTGCAAGATGCGATCGGGACAGAGTTGAACTCGGCGACACAAGCGAAGCTTCGGAGCGGAATTAAGTGAATTAGTGTGTTTAATTATTAGTGTTTTTAGTTTTAATTTGTGTAAAGTAAATTAAAGTGTTAATTTAGGTAATTTTATCGGCAATTTTTATTGTCACGAACCCTGAGCTCGTAACAACTGGTGTCAGAAGTGGGATAAAATCATGCCGATTTTACCTAAGGAGGAAACGGAGGGTGTCCGTACCCGAAGTCAACGTCAGCAGGAGACGGACCAACGAAGATTTGGTGGTGCAACGCCGCAGACGTCGGAGGGCCAGCCACCGGCTGCAGGCCCGTCGGTAGCTTCTACATCTGCAGCACCTGTTTTAGGTGCTCTGATGGTGATGCTGCAGCAGCTGCAGAGCGGACAGGAGGAACAGGCCCGTCGGTTAGCAGATCAGCAGGCGGAACAGGCTCGCCGACAGGAGGAACAGGTCCGTCGGTTGGAGGAGCAGCTGCGGGGTGGACAGGATGAACAGGTTCGTCAGCAGGCGGAACAGGTCCGTCAGTTGAAAGAGCAGCTGCAGAGCGGACAAGAGGAACAGGCCCGCCGACAGGAGGAACAGATGCTTCTCATGAAGGACCTTCACGCTACCTTCGGGAAAGAGATAAGGGAGGTGAAGGATAAGGTTGCTCAACATGAAAACCGCCTGTCGGAAGCTGAAACCCGAATTGACCAAGTGAACAATCGGGTTGACAACGTAATGGCTGACATGAGGAAATCACTTGACGAACTCAAACTTGGGGAGGGAACTACAGCTCCCGTAGTAGCTACTACACCTTCGCTACGTGGGTTCAAGGTGCCACCATTCGACGGGACTTCTTCCTGGTCAGCCTACAAAATCCAGTTCGAGGCTGTTATGAAGGCGAACGGCTGGAATAAAAGTCAGGCCATGACTGCTCTCACACTAGGCCTGCGCGACCAGGCCTTAACAATTCTGGAAGCTCTCGGTGAGGAAGTGACTTATGAGCAACTCCTTGAGGAATTGGAGGCGAGATATGGCGATGCTCATCTGGAACACGTCTTTCGTGCGCAGCTTAAAGATCGTGTGCAGCGCATCAACGAAAACCTGCAGCAGTGGGCTCTAGAAGTGGAGAAGCTGGTGCGAAAAGCATACCGGTCTGTACCTGCGCTCATTGAAGGGAACCTGGTGCAGACATTCATCGACGGCATCCGCGACCTGGAAGTCAGAGCTGCTGTGAGGCTCGGGCACCACGAGACGCTTAAGGACGCCTTGGCCCATGCACTGGAAGTGGAAGCCGTGCGGCAGGATCATCGTTCCCATCGCGTCAGGGAGGTTGCAGCAGCTACAGTTCGCGACCGCAACAAAGGATACAGCCCAAGGTGCTATGGCTGTGGGGAAAAGGGCCATCTTCGATCTAGCTGCCCTAAGCGAACCCTAGAAAGGGAAATTGAACGATCTCAGGAGGGTAGTGCGGCCAACAGCACCGCCCAGCAGCGGCAGGGTAACGAGTAAAAGCCAGAACTGCGGGGCGGGTGCTGGCTGATGTTAAAAGAGCCCCAAGGATCTCGATCTCACAAACCCATGATGGGAACAGCCTAATAATAAAGGGCGAGATCAACGGAATGCCGTGTAAGCTGACCATAGACACTGGAGCCTCTCGTACTGTTGTTAGTTCCCAACTTATAAGTCAGTTCCTTGGGGACTCCGCATACAACCGAGAACGCATTAATTTGGTAACAGCCACCGGTCAGCGTATACCCGTCCGTGGAGAGAAGGAGATGGAGTTGAAGCTAGGCAACGTGATCTACCTGCATAATGTCATCGTGGCTGATATAATGGACGACTGCATCCTAGGCCTAGACTTTATGAGGAATAATTGTTGTGAGATCGACGTTAAGCAAGGTGTTTTGAAATGTGGACAGGAGGAACTTTTTATGGAAGGTGCGTTACCAGGGAACGTGTACAGCATCAAGAAGATTGTTCTTCCGCCGAGATCGGAAACGATTGTTCCGGTTAGTCTTCCACGAAACCCTGGGCAAGCTCACCGTTGTGTACTTGTGGAAAGGGTAAACAATGACCTTCCATGGAAAGTAGCTCGAACCTTGGTCAGGACCACTGACATCTCAGGAGTACGTGTGCTGAACCTTTGCGACCGGGAACAGATTATAGAAAAAGGCACACTGGTTGGTACTTGTGAGGAAGTGGATTGGTTACGTCAGTGCCAATATATATCAAGTGGGACCCCCAGCAAGGATTCAGAAACGAGAGTGACCACACTTTTGGAAGACTGTCGCAGTGTTCTGTCCCCGAACGAATTGGTCAAGGCGAAGAAGTTGTTACTCGAGTACGCCGATGTATTCTCATCAAACGATGCTGACATAGGAAAGACTGGTTTAGTTCAACACAAAATAAACACAGGTGAAGAGTTGCCTATCCGTCAGCGGCCAAGACGATTGCCGGTAGCACGTGAAAAGGAAGTGGAAACCATGATTAAGGGAATGGTGAAGGATGGTGTTATTGAACCTTCATCTAGTCCATGGTGTTCACCCGTGGTACTGGTAAAGAAGAAGGACGGCAGCTTGCGGTTTTGTGTTGACTACCGCCGTCTGAACGACGTTACTAAGAAGGATAGCTATCCCTTGCCAAGAATTGACGACACGCTGGACATGCTTACAGGAGTAAATTGGTTTAGCACGCTGGACCTAAAAAGTGGCTACTGGCAAGTTGAAATTGACCCTAAGGACAAGGAGAAAACTGCGTTCTCGACGGGAAAGGGTCTGTGGCAATTTAAAGTAATGCCGTTTGGGTTGTGCAATGCTCCAGCAACGTTTGAAAGGCTGATGGAACTTGTACTTACCGGGCTAATTGGCGACGCCTGTCTGGTCTACTTGGATGACATCATCATCGTGGGCCGTACGTTTGAGGAACACCTTCAAAACCTGGAACGCGTGCTCATGAAGATTAAGAGTGCCAACCTCAAGTTGAGTCCGAAGAAATGTTCACTATTCAAACGGCAAGTCATTTGGGGGGGGAGAAAATCGCAGCTGTAAAGGATTGGCCGGTTCCGAAAGACAAGACGCAGGTTAGAGCATTTTTGGGTTTGTGCTCCTACTACCGACGTTTTGTGAAGAACTTTGCAGATATAGCCAAACCTCTGCATAAGCTAACCGAGGAGAAGCGACATTTCTGCTGGGATGAAAGTTGTAATATCGCATTCCAGGAGCTCAAGGACCGTCTGTGCAAAACACCTATTTTGGGATACCCTGATGCAAGCAAAGAATTTATAGTTGACACAGACGCAAGTGATATAGGACTTGGCGGTGTGTTGTCTCAACGGAATGGTGACCAAGAGGTCGTGATAGCGTACTTCAGCAAGTCGTTGTCAAAACCGGAAAGGAACTATTGTGTCACAAGACGCGAATTGCTAGCTGTGGTAAAGTCGTTGCAGCATTTTAGCAAATATCTTCTGGGGCGAAAATTTCACTTACGAACTGACCATGCTGCACTAAAATGGCTATTGCAGTTTAAAAATCCAGAAGGACAAGTTGCGAGGTGGATTGAACTACTGCAGGAATACGACTTTGAGATCGAACATCGCAGCGGGAAATCTCATGGCAACGCAGATGCATTATCACGAAGACCTTGTCCTGAAGATTGCAAACATTGTACTAGGCAAGAGAGTAAGGAAGTGGTATCCGTGAGGATGCTCAGGGCAGACCACCTCAGCAACGAGTGGAAGGACAGCTTTCAACGTGCACAGCAGGAAGATCGGGACATCAAGCCGATCCTGGAATGGATAAAGGCCAGTGCTCCCAAGCCTAAGTGGAGCGACGTCTCAGCAATGAGTTCAACCACTAAAAGCTATTGGGCCCAGTGGGACAGCTTGCTGCTTCAGGATGGAGTTCTGTGCCGTAAATGGGAAAATGTTCGGGGAGACAGCTGTCATTTACAAATGGTTGTCCCTAAAACTAAAGTACCGGATGTTCTACAGCTGTACCATAATGATTATTCAGGAGGCCATCTGGGAGTTAAACGAACTCTACTGAAGATCCGAGAACGGTTTTACTGGGTCCACTGTCGAAACGATGTCGAGGACTGGTGTCGCAAATGTACAAGTTGTGCGGCTGTAAAGGGACCTCAGACTCGTAGTAGAGGTGCATTGAAGTTGTACAATGTGGGTGCACCATGGGAGAGAATAGCCATTGACGTGGCGGGGCCGTTTCCGGAGAGTGAAAGCGGTAACAAGTATTTCATGGTTGTGATGGATTACTTCACTAAGTGGCCAGAAGTCTTCGCCATTCCAAATCAAGAAGCTTCAACAGTTGCAGATAAACTAGTTCATGAAGTCTTCTGTCGTTTTGGAGTACCTTTAGAGATTCACAGCGATCAAGGAAGGAATTTTGAGTCTCAAATATTCCAGGAAACTTGCCGAGTTATGGGTACTCATAAAACAAGAACGACTTCTTATCACCCGCAATCTGATGGAATGGTGGAACGATTTAATCAGACATTGGAGAGGTACCTAGCAAAAGTTGTAGACAATCGGCAACGAGATTGGGACAAGCACATACAACCGTTTTTGTTGTCATATCGAAGTTCTGTTCACGAAAGTACAGCAGTGACACCAGCTTTCGCAAACTTTGGAAGAGAATTACGGCTGCCTGCGGACCTGATCACCGGGATACCACCTGATGCCCCACGCAGTATAACCGATTATGCAAATGACTTGCGGAACAAAATGAATGACATTTATGAGCACATCAGACAATCGGGCCAGCAAATGTCTGAGAAAATGAAAACCCGGTACGACCGCAAAATGAACAATAAAGGGTTCAACGAAGGTTCATTAGTGTGGTTGCACAATCCAGTCCGCAGCAAAGGGAAATCTCCTAAGCTTCAAGCTAAATGGGACGGCCCGTACCGGATTGTAACCAGGATCAACGATGTGACCTACCGGATACAGAAAGGCGCAAGAGGGACTCCTAAGATCGTCCATGTGGATCGCTTGGCGCGTTATTATGGGACCGATAATGCTCGGGACGAGCATGTCTTAGGAGGGGGCAGTGTTGCATGAATAAGTCAACTAGCGCCATCTAGTGTCAGGAACGAGAGCGAGGGGAGCTTTGCAGTAAATGACATCACAAATCTTTCGACCGACAGCGCCACCCGAAGAACTAAGTTTCTGGAAAATCTACACTCGAATACTCGTTGCCTGGCGCGCATTTACGTGAATGTTCGGGACGCTTCTTTGCTAATTATATAAAATAGGCGCTGCAAGATGCGATCGGGACAGAGTTGAACTCGGCGACACAAGCGAAGCTTCGGAGCGGAATTAAGTGAATTAGTGTGTTTAATTATTAGTGTTTTTAGTTTTAATTTGTGTAAAGTAAATTAAAGTGTTAATTTAGGTAATTTTATCGGCAATTTTTATTGTCACGAACCCTAAGCTCGTAACAATATTCATTACGCAACAGTATGACGTAAAATTAAAATGGGAAATAACCGTGATAAAAATAAGAAGCGACTGGCTTGGCGTTAAGAAACAGGCATAAATATGATAAATCTAATGAATTAAGTATCTAACGACCTTTCTACGTAGAGTATTAGTGATTACAAACATGTCGGTACATATCATACGACGCGCGGGGAAGTGGGGACGAAATTAGAATTTGAGCTGACTTACTCTATCCTCTTAACACAAAATAATAAAAAGCTGCGGTTACCAACCCTCCTGCCAGGCTTGGCAACCATGGCAAATTCTCCCTGTGGATGGTAATCTATGGAAGAGGCCTATGTTCAGCATTGGACTTTTATAGGCCGTAATGGATGGATGAATGATAACTATTGACCGTTATTTGATCACAAAACATTGAATATTGAAATCTAATATATAAAAAATAATATTATTGTTTATTCGTATTTTATGCTTTGTCCACTTATCGTTTGCACTTGAGCGAAGGTTATAGGCATATAGTACAATCAACTTACAGTATGTGGCGAAAGTATTGTACCAACAGAGTTATTTGAAAGTTATATATCATTCAACTTACATTATTAATATACAATATCACTGCTGCAATGCATTGCTCAAAATAGGCCTCCCCTAAGGTATGCCGCAAAGCACGGTCCTGAGCCACCTGCATCCACCGACTTCCTGCATGTCTTACCAGGTCGTCACTCCATCTAGTGGGGGTACGAGGCGCCACTCGAGAACCTTTTTCCCCTATCGATTGTCGGTTCTTCGAGCTATATGGCCAGCCCATTGATACGGATAATAAACAATATAACTCTTCCAAATTTAAACTATGCGCATATGAGTACAAAAAATATTCCACCTCAATTATTTAATGCGATTCCCTTCAAATTGTTCTACTGATGATATAAATGCATATTACTATGGGGAAACTCTGTGACATATTGTTTAAACCAATTTTTTTCCAATTGCAAGGAATTGCTATTTTCAAACGGGATAATTTTTTTAAATATTTTTGATAAATTACAAATAAAAAAGGTCACATGACTTTTTACGATAAAGTTAATATTTTCGGAGTTAGGAGTTTTTAAAGTTGAAAAATTCCGAATTCGGATACTTTTGACTCATGAGATTGGTTGTAAACGTCGACATTATGCCTTTTGCTAGTAAAAAGGGTCTCCGGTTATACACTTACTGCACAAAACATAGCAGCATTAAAGCGCTAATATGTGATAGTTTGATTTTTCCCAAGGCCAGCTGTTATTGGTATAAAAAAATATCAGCTACTAAGACAGTAGGGATGATCTCACCTCTTTTTTGGGTTTGTGTAACACAGTCTCCCCATTCTTCTGGTAGCTGAGAATGTGGTTGTCGGACACCAGGTCCTCTTTCAGTCTTAAATCCAGCACGTACTCTTCGCCTTCTATGTCAACCTTCACTGTCACCTCTGAATGATGTGCGCCTGTCTGAAAACAAAAAATAATTTAATTAGCCTAAATAATTACATACACTTCGGTATTCTTATTCCAAACAATACAAGGAGCTCGATAAATGTACGAAACAATGAATGTATTATTTATAATTTATCTTCGATTTTGTGATATTAAAACATTTTCTCATCAATGTGAAAAATACATTAGAAACTAATATACATTTTCGCAACGTTCACTTTAAGGTTGTATTTCCTCTTGATGTATAAACTTGACAGATGTAGGTATATACCACCATATATTTGGTGGTAGAATAGATCTGGTGTCTTGTGTAATCATATATTTGGTGACTTTTGCATTGTGCACATTATATTATAAAGACTCGCTAGCGCAGTAGATGAGCGTCTGGTTGCACCGCTGTAGTCCGCGGTCTGCAGTCGTTTATTGTACAGAACTATTATTAAATGCATCTACGATACAGTAGTATTCCTAGTTGTGGGCTAGTAATTTTAAAGTTTAAATAAATAAATAAAAATATTATTAAATAAAAACATGGGTGCCGTAACCACGGTAATATTATCTATACAGTATTGTAACTCGGCCGTATCTTTCAAATAAATGCCCACAGCCGCGCGGTACGTAAACTTGCGATAGGGCTGCCTGCCTCCAGCATTTTTACATTTGCCTACTTTGTGTTTCTATTTAGTTTTATGATTGTAAATATACTTTTTATATAAACAAATAAAATAGGTACTTTGTGAATTGAATAGGAAGTGTTCAATAAAAATGCGTGTCGTTTTTTGATAGGTAGATCTAATTAAAAAACCATGTTTATGTTTGAATAACAAATCGGTTAAATAAATTTGCGACCGAAAAATATTTGCACCTCGGCTGAGACTTACGAAATGCTTTATTATTAGATTTTTAAATATAAAAAATCCGCTTTCTGATATAAAGCTAAAAATAATATAAATTAAAAATTGTTTTGGTAAACATGGACAAGGTGGAGAAAAGGAATATCTTTTAATTGGTTATAGATACCTGCATCTACTTTACAATTTATATGTTTGTTTTTAAATGAAGTTCAGATTTATTATTTCTTTATTTCTATTCTATTGTTTATTTCCTCCATTTTTTATATATTTCACAAAATCATCACTGCGGCACAGTCTCGACTGTCTGCATGCCGAGCGCTAAAGTTGGGCGTTATAACATACAACAGATAATATATTTCATTATATATTTTTAATCTTACAACACATTAGAATAACGAACCATTGACTGTTATAATATTATATTCATTATCGTTAGAAAGCGTCATCTGTTTACGTTTACGGTCCAACCGTCGCGTCGGCCGAGACAATGGGAGTCAATAAAATACTACCTACATTCATTATGCCACAAGGATTGCGTATAGCTTACACTAATTTAAACTCTAAGCTAACTTAATAAGAGCTTATTTTACTAACACTAAATTATAACGGTAAACAAAAATATATTATTTCCTTCATTAGTTGCCTGTTGTGCCTGTTATTTAATTTGGCTGTTGTAATATATATCAGTTTAGTGTTCAGTTAGCTGTCTAGCTGAGATGAATATGACACTGTTATCTGTTAAATTATATACGTAATGTTTTGATAGCAGGTCCCCATATTACGTGAAAAAGCTATTGTTGTTTTTGTTTATTATTCGTTAAGTTTTATTCCTAAAGTAATTTTAAATATTTATTGTAATATAGATAGGATTTAACGTGTTGTATGTAAAAGTGTATAATAATGTCACGCCAGCGTAGCGCAGCCATTTGGAACTATTTTATAGTCCAAAGTGTGGACGAAAAAAAAACCAGTGTGCAATTATTGCAAAACAATTTTTTTTTAAGTACAATTACAAATTTAAAGCTTCACCTTAAGCAAAGACACGTAGGAGTGTATGAAAAGTTTTGTCGTTCGGATTTAATATCGGATAGACGCAAAAGACTTAAGTACGTCGTCAAAAGTAAACCAAATTATATTTTTGAATAGTAACTGAAAAAAAATGTAAATAATTGTAGATAACTAAAACTTTGACCACAGTGTAAATAATGTAAAAATTCAATCAAAATGACGTCAAATCAATGAGCTTCTAACTACGCCTGAATGAGTTATTTATTTCTTTTAAAAATTAGTTATTTATTTAAAAAAGTAAATTTTTTGAAAATATGAGTAAATAATTATAACAGATACAATAATTACACAGCTTAGCATACATTCAGACATCCATACATAGGATAGACATCTAGACATAGGCTTAACTATAAAAAGTAGGAAGGGAAGTTCATTGAACTTAACATAAATATTTTAAATGATTCTCTTTAAAACACGAAACACTTAATTGATGCTGATACAACTTAAAAATATTTTTTGTCTTCATATAATACTTATAATCATCTAATATTTATAATCGTAATAATCTTTCATCGTAATATTTATAATCGTTATAACAACATACAACAAAACGCGAACACAGCCGACGACTGAACTGAACTAACCGCGTGTACAATGTAATATTTAAAACTGTTATAATATATTATAACAGTTTAAAACAACAGTTAGAAAAATATATTACAACAACGTAACGAATTAGAAAAATATAACAGTTTCGCCCATCTTTACCGAGCGCATGCCGAGATCGAGGCGCGTAGGCATAGCTCTCGCTGCGTCCGTTTGTATGGAGTTGGAATACTGTATAGATAATATTACCGTGCCGTAACTACCAGTGCCTAAAATAACCCACCCACTTGCGGTTTAAGTGACATAGGGAAATTGCAATATACCCACACCATAAAAAGAGGGAAATGAAAGATGGGTAGCAGGGTCTTCCTGATGAAGCTCAAAATAATAAAGAAATCACGCCGGCCGAGCGTGGCAGCAGTGGCACATATCTTCCATATGAGACAATCTACTTTCGACAGTTTGACTTTGATACGAGTAGGCCGTTACTATTGTATTTTTTTCTTGGCTCATCATTTATCTGGGATTTAAGTCCAGGACCGTGCCGTGGATGACGTCATGCAGACGTTTCCTTGAACTAGTTACACAATAAAGGTCGCTATATCCGTTTTAACGGTCCGAAGGAGGCAGCATTTTATGGTCGGATGTGGATATCCTTTAGCGGATTTGAAGCGTTATGAACAACGAACTATTTATTATTGCACATGTCGAACGAGAAGACACGAGGTCGGGCTTTATTGGTATTATTTACTCAGGAGTGGCAACCCACCCCGGCTTCGCATGGATTTGATTCATTAATGTGGCGTCATTTAGATTTAAGATAATTTAATAAAGTCGTCAAACACTGTAATATTATAAATAAAAATTCATATGCATCCGAAAAATGAATCATAAAGAAATGGTTGGTCACCCTATAATATGAGGAAACAGAAGAATTGTTAAAAACTGACTTTTGCTAATTGATGGTATTTGTGAAATTTTTAGGTAAATATTGTTGTTGTTTTAATTTTTTATTTTTCTTTTTCTTTTTAAATGTAAATACATATATAGTTAATATAATACATTCCAGTTATATAAAACTTGGCTTGGTTGTTAAAGGTTTCTTTCTTTTTTATGTTTTTAGATTTTGAACATTAAGCAGTTCTTTTATTGCTGTTTTGTGTAGATATATTATAAAAGATTGTCTGATAAGATGCATAAAATAATGCCTAGTGAACTTTGATCTCAGGTTTCTTCGATACAGGCTTCTGTTGTGTTGATTTTCTGTTAATAAAACATTTTTCAATTTCATTTTCATTTTTCAATCATATTAGACCATTTATTTTATCTAACACTAGCGATCCGCCGACTTCGCACGGGTGATTTTTGGATCTGTACAACAGCGCCATCTACCTGGGCCAAATGTGAATCTAAACCACCAAGCAAAATCGGTGAAACCATTTTGAGTTTTAGCGAGACAAGCGTATTGAGAGATCTCGATTTCACAAAAACATTTAAGTTTTCCGGTTACAAAATATAGCCCAGCATAGCTCTCCAGCTGTTCCTGAAGTTTAATCGTGATCGGTTCAGCCATTGTGTGGATTAGCTCGAACACACAGACAGACAAAACTTTTGTGATGGTTATTCATGTAGTAATGGCAAATAACGCACAGCTCAATACTCGTAAAGTAAAGTTACATTCTATATACGTCCCACTGCTGGGCACAGGCCTCTCCTAATTTCTGAGAGGGTTTTAGGTCAAGGAATTGTCCGCCGCGCTGCCCCAGTGCTTGTTGGCGAACTTCACATGTCTTCGAAATATTTTTTTTCTTATTCTTCAGACATGCAGTTCAGTTTTTCCTTCACCGATGAGCACGTGGTAAATCAGCACTTAAAGTTGCAATTAACAATTTCATTGGTGCCGGCGGGGATCGAACCCGGGTTACTCGCGTTCTGTTATATTTACAGCGAGCGTTAACCATCTGAGCAACCACGGCTCTTACTCTTCTCCATACTCGTAAAGCGCAATTATTTCGATATTACAGATAGAAATATCAATTTTATTTCTATATATGGATATAGATTACAAACAACGTAAGACAAAACAAATACATGTTATACAAATGGAATTAAAAAAAGACATGCCTCTCCTTACAAGGCAATCACGGAAAGCTAGGAGATACAAACGATAAGGCTTAATAAATAATTAAAAACTATTATTAATTTCAAGTTGCAAAAGAACAATGATAAACTATGCTACAATAGCAATTGTGAATATGATTGTTGATATATTTATCTAGGCATACGTTATACGAGTATATTTTAGATTTGTACGTCGTCCAACTAAGTTTAAATAAAAAGTAATTGCTTTGCCAATACTTCTTTTTCGAGTCTTTAAAAACATTTTTCTTTACATCATTGTAAGTAAAAATTAGTTAAGTTACAGCTTAAATACGTCCTACACCTGTGATACAAGCTTCAACTTAATTTTGAGAGCGTTTTAAGAAGAAAGGTAGGGCAAGGTAGTATACTCGTACACCGCCCCAATGCGTGTTGATGGACATTACA